AACCGCCAATGGGCGGGGCAGGGGGGAGCGCACAGCCGTCCGCAATGGATGTGGATAAGGAGGGGAGTAAGGGCGATGAGAAGAAGAACAAAGCGGCCAATGAGGCTGCTGTAGCGTCAAAGAGCGCAAAGCCGCATCCGGCGAAAGCGTCGCGTCCTGAGGCCCTAAGCGGCTTGTTGGATGTGACACTAATCAGCGATGTACGGGAGCGTGATCGGGATATTTCCGATGACGAGTATTCCCCTACGAACGTGTGCATGTTTCCAGAATCATGGGAGGGCGCAATGCCGACCTCCGTGACTGAAAAGGCCGGAGGCTTTGAGCAGTTTAGAAACGAGCTCATGAGGATCCAGAGAATCCTGGATTCTCCGGCGTTGGTTGACCTTGGTAAGGTCGATCTGGACGCTCTGGGAGAGCCGCCCAAGGAGTACGTCTCGGATGAGGATCACGAGAGTCACGTAGATGATGATGGGATGGGCCCATATGTGGACAAATTCTCATCAATGGGCGACCGCGACCTAGTGCCCTCAAAGCAGGAGCCGCCTTACTATGAGGCAAAGGCGTGGCGTACCACTGAAGAGGAAATTGAGAGGATGAAGAACCTCTTTCCATACTTCCGTGCCGAAAATTATCGGCGTATGTCAGCGGGGACTGGTCCCACTGGCACAAAGGGGCACGTACAGGGCGTCCTCCCTGCTGGTGCATCGCTAGAGGAGGCACTGATGGCAAAGCCCGATGTGTGCCCGATTACGAGCACCTACAACCTCACATACGAGGGTGAAGAGGTTGTGATTGATGCACAGAGCGGGATAGCAGGCAGAATCGCCTGTCCTGCCGGTAACGACATCTTCCATTTTTTCCCCGAAATTAGGGATGTGTCGGCGTTGATTGGGCGAAGCTCCAGGGAGTCGCAGATGCTGCTAGAAATTTTGTCGGGCAACACTGACCCAACGCGGTTGAACGCGAAGCCCGGTGAGCCGCCCCCCTTCTTGTGTGGGACGGTTCCAGACATTCTGGGAGGTTGGATGTCAATGACTCTAATCTCAACGCTTTTTGAGGCCCTATACGGGATCCATAAGTGCACGAGTGTCGAGGTGGCGACCTGGGCAGGTGCTCTAGCGAAGGAGAGCCCGGCGTACCCTCCAGTCGAGCTCCTAATACGGACAGTCTGGAGGACAGATGGCACGACTGTGCGCCCGAATGAGGTGTTGTTTGCGCGGTCCACCCTAATCGGGAGGGACGTGCCGTTCAAAGTTTTCAAACGTTGGGCACTGCGTGACCGAACGCCTATCGGGCCTTTGCTAAGGCCGATGGGAGCAGCAGAGGTCCCTTATACGGGATACGTGCTGCTGACGATGGCCGAGTATCGGTCCGCCCTCAAAACGAGGTGCATCCGGAGGCCCGGCAAATTCGCCATCACGGTTTTTCCCATGCGACCTGAGCAGGTCTGCAGGGGGGAGATCACGATTGGGATGGAGGGCGCAAAGGTGCCTCTCCTCAAGTTGCCAAGCCCCAATAATGAGGGCGAGTTTTATGTTGACGATCGCGTCAAATACATGGACAAGCGCCATGTCGTTGTGGCCGTTGACCTAAAGTGGATGGCCATTGAGGAAGCCGCCGGCATCTACAAAACCCGACGCGGTTTGATCGCCGTGCGAGAAGAGATACATGCGCCTTTCTGGCGCGCATGCTATCTGCACCAGGAAGGGGATGTGATATACATCCGTCCCTGGGCGGTCCGTGAGTTGAATGTTCAGGGACCGCGGAGAGGGGTGTCATTTTCATGGGACAAAGCTCCCATGCATGATTTCTGGTGCCCTCGGTGTGCGCATTTGAACATGTATGGCACCATTCTATGCAATGGTTGCCATTTGCCGATTTTCTATCGAGAATGGGTGCCAGGCACCGTCCGCTCCCTGGTTAGGAATGGGCAGCCAGTCTGGTTAGACGGACTCAAAGCAGTCCGTGCCAGCAGCTGGTATGAAGGGGAGACCGACGCGTGGGCCCCTCTCATGGCATCGGTAAACCCGATCCGCGAGGTGGTCAGCTGTATGATCTCCGGTTTGCGCTGTGCGCCGCACCTCGTGCACAATCCCAATGCGGATGTTGTGCAAGTTGCGTTTCAGGAGGTTGCAAAGGTCACCTCAAAGGACACTCACGCTTTTGTGCGTGCGAGTGATGAGGCTCTCGAGCGGTGGGTAGCGAAACAGCTGCTCATCGAGGAGAGCAACACTGGCGTCCCAATTCCCGACAATATGTCTGTCATGACATATTTGGTCGAGCATCCGCAACAGGCGGCGCAGTGGGGTCGTCATATGACGAGAAAGGGCAGTCTAAATTCAGCATTTGCCCTTTACCTCTCTGTGCATATTTATGATGCCTATCGCATCGGAATTGAGGACGGGTATTTGGTTCCGCTGTATGGCCTAGGCGCCTCACGCGCGGACATCATAATGTCATTGGTCCAGGCCGAGCGACGCCTCGCGGACTTCAATAGTGAGGACCCAAGTTTTGATGCCTCCACTGTTCTTGATTGGAGCATCGACTTTCTGCGGGCCAGTGGTGGATCCATCACGGCCCCAATTGAGTATGCTGAGGCATACATTTATGTCGAAGACAATAAGGTTGACATGGTCCCCGCTGCACGGCGCGACGGCCAATGCGCCATTGTTTTTGCTGAACCGCCGGCTGGGAAGCACCATAGGCGGGCAGCCACTCCTAGGGGAGACCAACGGTCTGCTACCCCGCGACCTGAATCCAGGTCAAAGGGGGATCAGCAAAAGGGCAAAGCCCCTGCGCAGTCCTGGCCCAAGGGCGGAGGTCACAAGGGTGACCAGTTTCCAGGAAAGGGTCACAAGGGTGATCAGTACAAAGGCAAGGGTGGCCAATACGGCTACCAACAAGGGCAGTTCGGTCGTGGCGGATCCGCCAGATCGAGAACTCCCACTGGCGGGTATCAGCCTGATGCTCGCGGGTCGGGGTACAAGGGTGCACAGGCTGCCCCTTTCCCGTTTCCGAGCCCGATGTATCCCACTTTCCCAATGGGAGGATACATGCAACAGCCCATGGCTGGCATGATGCCACAAATGTGGCCTGGCGCAATGCCGCAGGGTTGGCAGCCGCATATGCAGGGTGATCCTCGCGAGTTCGAGAATCCGAACTCGCCGCATACCCCTACCTGGGGTGCAGATGATGAGTTGGCCGAGACCGTGCCTCCTCCTCCTGGGGACTGGAACGGCAACAAGGGGAAGGGACGGCACGGTGGCGGACGACATCGGTGATACCTGATGTCCGTCCGTGTGTGTTGCATGGTTGCGCCAATGCGCGCATGTTTTCATATCGGAATTCACAGGTAGGACTATGCTCCTTGTAGGGTTTCCCTGTTTCGGTTATTCACCGAATGATAATTCGTATGCACGGGTGACCGTGCGCTAATCGCGACGGTCACATTGTCCTGCCAGGTACGCCCTGTTACCGCAAGGCAGTCATCATCGCCGGCATCTTTGGCCGCTGGCGATTCACATCCTCCTGATCCGCTGATGCAGCTGGTGAAGGAACTCATCAAGGTGCTGGCGTGATGATCGCGAATGTGCTGCACCGCTGCCGGAGGTGTCCAACTCGGACCTAAACCGCTGACGGCTGCCGGTGCTACTCGTGCCGGCCATCTTCGCGTGATCGCGCGCCTAGACGGTGCTATTTTTAAAGACCCAGGTCTTGCGGTCAAAGCACCATGTTTCAACCAGCAGGCCAAAGCGCCTAAATCTCGAATTCAGAAATTAAATCCACTTGAATTGAATGGTTCAATGTGGTTGCAATGCAAATGACAATTCTTTGGCTTCATGCCGGCCATTCCGAAGTTGATCCTTTGTTCTTTTCTTTTGTTGCTTTCTCTTGTTTGATTTGGCTACCGGCGCGAATCCGCCTCATACCCGTAATTCGGGGTGGTGGCGGGATCCGGGCACCAATGAGTGCCCGGGTATGGGGTCGCGAACCCTGGTAGCCTAATCGGCTTTGTTTGTCTTGTTTTGTGCGTTTCAACTTCAATATGGCCAATGCGCCCTTCCAAATTCACTTCCTCTCTTTGTACAGGCGAGGGGGGTGTTTTTGGGGGCATGTAGTTTTATCGCAACATGTTTCAACGCCACGGCCAATGCGCCGTTTGGCTCAAGTTTACTGTTCCGGCGACCGCTCCCGCCATAACGTCGGCTAGCTGTACACGGCGCCGCAGCGACCACGCGGAAAACGACCGCGTGTTCGTCAGCCGGCGGTGGCAGCGTTGCTGGTTGTGGGTCAGGAGTTAAGGGTTGGGAACTTGCTTTGTTGCTGCTGCTCCGCTTTTGCTTGGTTAATTGCTTTGCTCGCTTGCTTGCTGCGCTCGCTTGGTTGGCTGCGCTGGTCCCCTTTCCTGTTTGGGTTTTGCGGTTAAACAGGATCCCCCGTTTGTTATCTGTGTGGTTCATTGCCAGCCGAGGGCACCACTTTGCCCTTGGGACTGGGGGGCTTAAACTGTCCCTTCTTGTTGGTGGGTTAGGGCCTGTTTATTCTCTCCCGAAATACTGTTTCAAACCCTTTCGCACCAACTGTAGAGCACCCGATCTAATCCACACCACCCCCCAAATGCTTCTTTGGTTTGTTGGCCCATTGTCTTTTTCCCAAGGGGGCTGTGTCCGCGGGCTCCCACAAGAGGGATGTCGAGTCTTTCTCAAGGGGGTTATTTGGGGCTTGGGTATAGCAGCGAGACTCGCCTGGCAAGTCTGAGTTTCTCGTATAAAATCCTGGACCCCAGTTTGGTCGAACATGGTAAGCGGTTTAGAACCATGGTCACTACCCACCAAGCCAATCTTTGGTATGGGTCAAAAAAGAAATCAGCACTAGGACATGGACCTCTCAGGTTTTCGGCCGACCCATTTTTGGGGTGTCCCTCATTTTTGGGCCACCACAGCTATCGGGGGAAGAACAAAAAACTCCCCTCGGAGGCGCAGCGAGTGGGTTTCCGTGAGGAGTGCCTCAAGCGCATCGCCTCCCGGAACCTGGAGACCTCCGAGAATCTGCTGGAGGACGATCCGGAGGCCTTGGGTGACCAGCTCCATGAAGGTTCCATGCGGCTGTGGGTGTCAAAACCAATGGTATCCCATTTTTGTTGGTAGGTGATTTCACCAATCATTTTAGAACCTATCTTAGTGGTTGGATTGAATCGGATGTTCGCGGGGGGCTAGCCGATTTGGATTTGGAAAAGCCCATGGCCGCGCGACCTAAGCCCAGGAAATTCGTTCAAGTTTTTTCTTCCCAGGTCGGAGAGGGGTGGGGCGGAGGGGCGGAGGGGTGGAGGGGGTGGGGCTGTTGCTTGGCCCCCATTTGTCGCATGTGGAGATTCATGTTTATGCAACAGGCTGTGACCCTGGCGTAAAAATCCGGGGAATTGGTTGGGCAAGTCCATTATGCTGTGGTCAAAATCCTGCACCACTTTTGAAACCATGGGAAACCACTGTTTGTTGGCAACCAGTCCAGGCTTTCGTAGGTGGTGCGAAATGGATTTCGTCCATTCAGAGTAGGTGAACTCCCGATCCGGAGGCGAGGTCCTGCTGCCAAGACACACCCGCTCAGGGCACCTGGTGTGAATGGGTTATTTCATAAGAACGGGGTATCAACGGTCAACGTACATTCGCAGAATAGAACCCATTCGGGTGTCCCGTATTTAGGGACCCCCCCCCCCCAAATGGTGGGTTTTTACAGAAGCCCACCATTTTTTAGGGGGTTCCCTCAAAATCGACACGCCCATTTGTGGGTTTTTCGCGGGTGAAACGTCCCATGCGGCCCATGGGTCTCGCCGATGCCGCGAGGTCTACTGGTGTCTTCAGGTCTTCTTTGGCTTGAAGGCCGAGGTCTTTTGGCGCTCCAGCGGGCCCTTGGTGAGTCTCTCGGTGACCAGCTTCAAGGACATGTGCAGGACCGGGACTTTTCTCGGCGGAAAGCGGCGGAATTCGGCTTGGGGGGGGGGGGGGGGTCAGATGTGCGAGGAGCCTCAAAATCGTTGGACATTTTTCAGCATGAGCCAACCAGGAGAGGTGGTAGGCGCGGAAAGTTCTCAGACCCCGTTTTTTCTTTTTGCCAAAGATGGTTGCTTCTGAAGGCGGGGAAGGCCTTCGGTTTCCTCCCCGTTGAAAGCTAGAAACGACTGACTGGTTGCAGTCGGTCTTTTCTGGGGCTTCTGGGTTGGTTCAGGACCCAACCCTTCCCGCCGGAGAACTCAAAAGTTGGACAAAAAGGGATGTTTCTAGGGGAACCAAGCCACTCCGTGGACGTGTCTTTTTCTCTTGATTTTTGCCGGCTCCCAAAAGAACCCGGCCATTTCCCCGGCTCCCCCCCCAAAAAGACCCGGCCAAAACACCGGGTAGCCCAACAAAACCGGGCTGCGCCCAGCTTCCGCCCTTCAGCTTCGCCCTTCAGCGCCGCTCGCTCCGCGACTTCGCGAGGAACTTCCTGGCGGAGGCCAAGGCCCAGGACCGGAGCCTGCCTGGGACTGCCGGGCTTTGGCTGGGGTCATTACAACAAAACGATGACCCCAAAACAAACCACACACAAACCGTCATTGTTGTGGGGTCATAGTTTTGATTCGGTTTCTGTTTTGTCTTTTTTCTCTCTCTCTTTTTTTGATCCGTTTTTTTTTTTTTTTTTTTTTTTTTTTTTTTCAAAGTCAGTACATGGAATTTGTTGTTTCCCTTTGGCCCACTGAACGGGGGTGACTTTGATCATGATAGAATAATCAGGCCAGTTTGGGCGGGGCTTGAAACGCAGAGGTGTCCTTTTCTAGGTGAGTTTTTGACTAGAAACAGATGGCACTGGTTGATTTTTAAGGTTATATAGTTTGACTGGAACTAGATGGCACTGGTTGAAACTTGTTTTAAGTTTCATTCCATTTGCCAGGGCCATCTATTTTTCCCAGTTTTGGAGGGGGAACCCTTCATTTCCCTTTGGGAATCTCAAGTCGCGATCGCAGGGGAGTTTCCACCAATTTGAAAGCCGCTTTTCGGTTTTCCGTGATTCTTCCTAGCCAAAGGCTCAACTTTTTGCAGGGGTCTAAGTCTGGCCCAGGTAAAGCTTTACGCTTAGTGCAACGCTGCTGTTCAATCCAAAGAGCAGGTTTTGACTTCACGCATCCAGACGTCAAACCAGTGTCCGCATAGCCGCCTTAGCCACCGCAAGGGGAGTGGGGGGGGGGGGGGGGGTTGGGGTGTTGGGGTTGAGGGGTGTTGGATTGAAACTTCTAGGAATCAGTTGCAACAGAATGGAGGCTTCCCAATTGTGCCTCTGAGCATGCCTTGCTGTTTTGCCATGTTGGAGGTTGCAAGTTCTCGGAGCGCGCGTGTTTTTGTGTTTCTTCGTTTTGTTTTTTTTTTTTTGGGTTTTTTGAAAACTCTGGCAAGGAGGGCGAGCCCAGTTTGCCAGGCCGCGGAGAAGAGTCGACCCGAAGTGTTTTCCGAGCTCCATACCGTTTCGTTGGGCCGGCGGCCCAAAAAGCCGCTTGGAGGTCGTTACAAAAAGTCATGTCCGGCATTCGGAGTGATTTTCAGGAACCCGAGAGGAACTTTATTTGTTTGGGATCCTGAGTTTGTGGAACTTGTGGGAGAATCAATAAAGGCGCCATGACTTGCTCGAACACCAACTTGGCTGAGAGGGCTCAAACTCTTCTAAGACGCGGTTCAGACCTGGCCGAGCCCTCGTTTAGATACCTGGTACCCAATCTGGCGAGCGGTCCGGGAGGCTTTCTCCGTTTCCTCCAGGCCTTTTGCAAGAGCGCCGCGGTTTGGTTGACGCGTTGACGCGTCGCGTGCCGTGCGTTCCTCCAAAAAGAGAATCTTCTTGGGGCGGCAATTTGAGAGGAAACGACTTATGGAATTTGTGGGTTTCCCTTTGGTTCTTCACGTGATCGACCCTTCCCCCGAACTTCGGTTTAATTTTGTGTCCCGTACCAGCCAAAAGCGGACAGACCACCCCTCCAGTGAGGTCACAACTTAGACCGCGCCTCTTAGAGTCATCGGAGTTGTTTGAAAGGTCCATGGAATCCCCCCACATCAACAGGCATAGGTGTCCTCTTTGGTTGGTTTGCTTAAATGTAGAAGGCCCTGGTTTTCCTGGTGGTTCGATCATCTACCAGGGAAACCCACCTATTTTCCAAAAAGGACACCGATGCTAAAAGGGCAACCTGAGTTCAGATAAGTCTTTCAGCATCTGAACGATGCCCCCTTCGAGGTCCCCAGCTCGGGCTCGACGCATTTTGTTTTTGTCGACCTGGATTATCCTTGTGGCTGGATGTTTCGGAAGAGGCAACCCGTTCCACAGGAAGTCTGGACATGTGGGCCAACTCTACCCATTTGTTGGGTATGCCAACTGTTGTCATGGGTGACTATCTTTTTTGCCTAAAAAGAAGATCCAATCTCCAGCCCCAGAGATGGTAGGAAGATCCTGGAGGTTCTCTTCAATGAGCATGTTTCAGCTTCCGAATGTTCGGTTTGTGGGAGTCTAGGTACCGGATACGACTAAGGAGAGTTGCATGTTTATTCCTCATCGACCACGATTTCGTGTCGTTAATGTTTCTGACAGGAAGTTGGCGATGGACAGCTGAACGTGATGTGCTTGATTTCATCCGTCACCTAATTGGTTTTCAAGGAGTACATTCACGTGCTGGGCCATTGTGAAATTTGGCAGGCCCGTCATGGAGTGTTGCGTGCCATGAACTACTAGTATCTCAGGTTGGATAAGGCAAACGCATTTGTCAATTTTGGGTAATTATATCAAATGCATGATTTACTGTACGATGCAATGTATAACAGACATTTCATTAAATCAATCCTTTGCTTAGATTCCAACTAGGACAACCCTGCACGTGCCAGGTGCTGTTGCCACAGAGGACAGCAAGGCAAGCTTTGGGTAGACAATGCCGAGAAGGATTTAAATGATTTGCTCAGAATCTGGGAGCCCCCAAAGTGCTTGGTTTCCTTTTGGTTTCGATCCCGACAGTACGCATACCCCATACCGAGCGACCAGGGTGCCCGGGTGTCGAGGGCCTTGGGCCCCATCTTTCTCCCACCTTTTGGGGCTGAATTTGTCAGTTTGGTGAATGCAAGGTTGTTGTTGGGACACATTTTTCCCATTTTTGCTTATTGTGGTTTAGTGAAATCCAACCACTTAACTGCTAAAATTCAATTTTTTTGCTCCCCTTCCAACGTCAACACCAAGAATGGTTCAATGGGCACCAAGCACCTACTGAGCAAAGGGAACTCCGGCCGTCAACCAGTTTTTTTGTTACACTTTACCTTTGGGCCAACCGCGATCGCCCGATGGCCTTCCAGGAAGAAGTCGCGGCGGCCGCTTTGCCTAAGGAGGCCAGGCCTGAGAAGTCGTTCTTTCCGGGTGGCTCCGAGCGACGGAAATGGCTGAGAGTTGTTTCAGGGGAGCAGCATTGGGTGGACATATCTTAGCACATCATGGGGCTCTTCAAGTAGGGCCTCTGTACTGAGTTTAAACGCTCCAATGCAACTCCAGTGCAAATCCGGTTATTCCTTTGTTTTTCCAAGGCAAATAGCTTCAACTTTCCGATGAACATTCTTTTGTTTGGCCTTGCTTTTCACTAGAGTGGCGCTGGGTCAGCGCGGAGTGGCGCTGGAAGGACAACTTTTGACGCTCAAAGATCGAGGGTGGCGATTGCTCGGCGCCGGACACCATCTGAATGCCGGGGGAGCCGAGGTCATAGTATGGCAGCATCGCACCGGTCACCAGCATGTGTGGAGAGTAGCCATCGAGGTTGAGCACCGAGTTCTGCGCAAAGCCTCCGTGGCCAGGTCTTCCAGGCATTCCAGACCCCGACGTTCTGCTTCCACCCGAAGCTTCATAGGGATCTTGGTGAGGTCGATGTGCTTTGTCCACGATGCCCGTGGTGGTGTGCTGGTCTTCGCCCCTCCTCACTGACGACGCACTTGCGTCAGCGCTTCACCGTTCACAAAAAGAAGACCACAGTCACCAATGCAAGTGGACAAAAATCTTGCAACCGCGAAATTAACAGCAACCCCGAACCAATCAGGGCACGCTGGCCCAGCCAGAATGCACGGAATTTGGTAAGACATGATGGCAAGGAGCTAAGGAGCGCTTTTAGTTGCGCTATGCTACCCACAGGCTTGTAAGAAGTTTCAAGTCCCCATTATGGAACCCCCAGGCGGACATGATTTACATGGGTAGTTATGTTACATGGGCAACGTCGTAAACCGCTTTAAGCAAGGCCGCTGCAAATCCACTCTTCCCTCTAAGGAGGCCCTCCAATGGTGAGTGACACCTTTTCAAGCCAGGAAACACCACGAACTTGGGGGACCTTGCCAAGTTGATGCAACGTGTCATGGAAGTCGAAACCCGCCAGGGAGTGTGTAACAACTCACCTGCCGAATGGACTAGCCCCGAACATGGATGGCGCTCAAGCGGGTGAACCACTGAACCGCAAGGAAGCTTAATTCTTTGGTCAGCATGTTAGCCTGTTTGCCCGTTTGCCTGTCTATATTATCTTGGTGTGTTTCATCTGTGGCTGGTTCGTAGGTTCCGTCGCTTTCTCGCCTTGCTGGTTTTGTGTTTCTTTGTCATCCAGGCATTCATCCAATGAGCCTAGAACTTTCCAGCCCCATTTGGGTTTCTGTCTTCTTGAAAGAACCCTTCTCAGGGTTGGCAGGAATCAAGGGACACTCCCCCCCTTTTCGGTGTCCCTCATCTTGAGACAACCCCCTATTTCCCTTGGCACTCAGCTTCTCGTGTGCCTTTTGATCTCTTAGACATTCAACTTGCTTTGGGTACTGTGATTATTTTTGGGGACCTAGTAAATGGGTGACTTGCAGAGCCTCCCAGCAGGGGTACCCACATTTCCCTTCTTGCGGGATTTTAAGCATCACATGTTTGGCCCATAGGCGGTTTCTTTGTTGCAGGGCTGGATGTCTCTGGTGGGACATATGGGGAACTGAGCTCCAATCCAGGCCCATAGCCGGGCTTTGCGGAGAATCGATGGCCCTGGTAGATCAAACCAAGGCGCCTACCGGAAAATTGAGCTTCCCCAACGGTAAATACCAACCAGCAATGGTTTCAACCAACCAACCAACATCAATGTCCAACCAACTCAATCAACCTTTACGCCTACCAACCAACAAACCCCTTCAAGCATTCAAAATGCTAGTGCGAAATGGGCTTTGCAACCAACCACAGTGTCCTTTTTGTTCAGTTTGAGAAATATCTCGGGCATAGGGTTTCAAGGTTTTGCCGCCAGTTGGGGATGGATGAAACCCTGGTCATGGGACAAAGCAGCAATCCCAAGTGGGGCAATTTTAGGATTTCGATCAACCATCCGCTGTAGGGAACCAAGGGAAACTGGTAGACCAGCAGAGAAGTCCAGGGAGAATCCCAAAACCTGTCAAAACCACCAGTCCCAAGTGGCGCGATTTCGATCTCTGGAAATTCTATGGGGTTTCTTCCGGGCCCAACAAAACAAAGGTTCCTAGGTACCCCAGTAGTGCCCTTTTACCACTTTTTTTGGGGGAGGGTTCCCCCCAAAAAATACACTACAGGAAAAAAAACGGGTACTCTTATTCTAACCTCTCTACTGGAGGACCCAGGTCTGGTTTCCTTCATCAGTCCTAGGCCGTGCAGAACGTGGAGACCTTCGAACAGCTCGCCAAGAAGGTCTCCTCCCGGCGCCACCACAGTGTGGGGCCTCGGTGGGAGTGGGAGCTGGAGCCCGGTGGCGCCCGGTGGCGCCCGGAAATGAGGCAAACGGGCCCCGGGTTTTGGAGGGGGGGGGGGGGATTTTTTTGTTGTGGGGGGGAGATGTGTGGGGTGAATCAATTATCTTCCCCTTTGGGTGTCAGACATGTTGTTTTTTTCCTGGAAATGACACGTGCTTTTTTGGTTGGGGGGGGGGAAGGTGACTGGTGGGTGGTCGATGTTTTCCATTTGGCGTTTTAAAACCCTTTCCTTTCCCCTGTTGGTTTTCCATGACACGCGAGCCGGTTTGGTGCGGATGGTCATCAATCCCTTGACAGTTCCAGGGAGCCCCCCATACTGAGTTTTGACCATGGCACATACTGGGAAGCCAAAGCAAGCCCACTAGAAAAGGGGGTTTCCGATTCTTGTTGCACTTGAAACGTCAACTGCCATTGGCAGTTCGGTTGAACTAGGTGCCATTGAGTGCAAGTGGACGCAAGTGGGTGCACGTCGAGTTGCTGATGTCGTGCTTGCAAAAGCCCACCGAAAGGGGAGAAACTTGATGCGCAGCCTTGTCCTCTTCAGACATGTGGAGCGCCCAAATGTAGGTCATGGTCCTCTCCAAATGTAGGATCCTGACACTAACAGGAACACCAAAAATAGACTGTAAAAGTTGACTAACCCATGATCCAGGGGCTCTACTTCGTACGTTCCTAGTATTGTCAGCCAGCCCAAAACTCCCCCACGAACCTCCTTTCCATAGGATACCAGGGATTTTCCCCTTGCTGGTGGTTTCCCTTGCTTCTGTACTGGTCTAAAAGTGATTTTTCTTGGTTTTGCTACTGTGGATGGTTGCGAAATCCTTTTTTGTTGGGTATTTACAGGGGAATTTTCATTTCCGGGGTTTCTTGGGTGGTGCGATTTTTTCCGTGTTTCGCACTCATCCACCGCGGAATCCACCGAAATCGCTCGTGGGTTCCCTTGCCCTTCCGTTCCTCGAGGTGTCGAGCCGCCGGCCAGCTTCCCCACGGAAAGGGAGCCCTCGCCAGGCGGGATTTATTTTGAGTGGGCGCTTGGACTGGAGAAGCTCGTGGGAAAACCCGGGCCCCAACCAGACAGTCCTCCCTGGAATTTTCACCCTTTTGGTCCAACTTTTGAGTTCTCCGGCGGGAAGGGTTGGGCCCTGAACCAACCTAGAGGCCCCAGAAAAGACCGACTGCAGACAGTCCTCTTGCTTATGGGGAGGAAGGCCTTTGGCAACCCTCTTGGGCGGGGAAAAAAAACAACAGAACGGGGTGTGAGAACTTTCTGGGCCGAACATCCAGACATACTCTGTGATGGTTGCGAAATGTTCATTTCGCACCACCTAACAAACCCTGAAAGGTATTCGATTCCCCTGCAACTGCCAACAAACAACGGTTTCAACCATGGATTCCAAGTGGTGCGAAATGGATTTCGTCCATCCACAGTAGGTGCAAGCCGTTAAACTCTTGACACCATAGACCACGTACCCCCCCGGCAAATTCACAAGGAACTCCAAAAGGAGGCCCCACAAGAGGGGATATGTCGCACTCCAGTCACTTTTTGGGTTTGGACCAGTCCAGTGGTCGACAACACGTTTCTCGACCTTTTCTGGTCAATCCACTCAGGAAGTGAGTAATGGAAAGGCCCAATAAATACTGATACTTTACTCCCACGATCATGATTTAAGTTGGTCTTAAAGGAATACCTTGCACCCAGTTGTCCAGTGCATGCCATTTTTTTTGGTTTCCCTTGCAAAAGACCCAGCAACTACAGGTGGCCCATCATGTTTGCCCCTCACCCGGGCCAAAAAGCCTTGGATGGGTGTGGCTCCTTCACGTCTTGCAGCCCTCTGGTCCTGAACAGGGGATTCGCCTTTTCTCCATGGACATCCTGCAAGTACAAGGAGGTCACTTGCCTGCTTGCCGTGTGGGCCCACCGGAAGAATCTGAAAGGACTTCTGCCAAGGGCAAAGCGACCAGACTCCGCCCATGACTTTTCCAGATGTCCCCCGCTTTTTGGGTTCCATGTCAATTCGCATTCCTGAATTAGTCCCGATGAAGCAATAGAAACATGGTCCTACTCCCCATTTTCTCCAAGCGTCCTTTTCAAAAACCGTATCTGTTGGGCTTCTGGAGGCTTAACTTAGACAGAAGGATCCCTGGACACGGGGAAGGTACCTGTACTCAGCCCCCACGAGGCATCCTGAAGCGTGGCTCCCGGCGCGCCTCCACCGCCCGCACCATCACCTTGGGGGACATCGAGGACGCGCGCCTTGGCAAAGACGGTCCGCGGGGGGGTTTCCCAGATGGCCGTGGCTCCCAAAAATTGGGCACCCCAAATTTAAACGGCACCCGAACTGGCAGAGTGTTAGGCCTGCTTGTAGATGCTGGGAGCTGGTCTTCAAGTATCTTCATTTGACCGTATCGCCGTATCACACACACAAAAGTACCACAGCACCAGGGCAAATGGACACAAAGACTAGAACCTGCGGTCTGCCATGACTCTTTCATTTTGAGCCACACCCATATCCCCTTCTTTGTGGCTTAAGCATCACATGATTTGCCCATAGGTGAGTTTCACTTGGTAGAGGGGATGATAGTGAGGGGGACATCTAGGGAGTGATGTCCTTTTGAAAAATAGGAGGTTTCCTTGTTCCCGTACTCGCAATGTTTTAGGGCACCCACCGCAATGCCCAAGCTGTTTTGCTTTTGAAATACAACACATCCCCCAAATATCTACATTTTTGGTTTTGTTGTCCAGGTTTGATTTCGCGTCTATTTGCGTGCTGGGCGATGGTGCGTGCTGTTTCCCTACAATGTGCAGCATTTTGGGATATATTTTCCACGTGTTAGTGGCACGCTCAGATTGTTAGTGGCACGCTAAAACAAATATATTTCTAAAAAGCTGTTTTGGGGACTCGCAACATGACTTTTGGCGGTGGATTTCCTCGTTACCACCATTTCAGCAGGGAAACTACCAGGAGACGCCCTAAGACCTTCAGCACTTATCTTACGTGATTTGAGCATGCAGTTGCTGACATGGATGCCTGGTAGATGTGGATGGGCGCGTCTCAAACTGGATCCCTTTTTGGTGTGGGTGAAGGGAAACTGCAAGGAATGCATATTGGTCTTCTAGTTTGAGGAACCCTTTGAGATGCCGGCCTTTTCCTGATTGCTCGCATCGAAGCCCCCGTGCTCTCGAACTGCCTGCGGGAGCTTCCAACCTTTGTACTTTGGGGATGTCTTTGTTGAGGGCACCTGTTTGGGGGTTGGTTTAAAGGGACATCGTTGCACATTTTGAGGGGACACATGAAGAGGGTAACACATATTTTGGGACAAACCCAGCGATCGAGAGTCTAGTGAAGGCTACTTTCAACCATGCCGGCCGAAGGGGCGCAGCCAGGGTTGAGGTGGACGAAGTTGGCTCAATGTCGTGCAACGCATAGGTGCTCCCTTTGGTGCATTTTGCCAAGGGATGTTGGGACTTTAACTTTTTGCCAACTAATGAGGTTTTCCATTAAACGACTAGAAGTCAACCTTTTAGCGGGGGAGCAGAAAGCAACCCAGCTCCCTTTTGGTGAGCTTGGTTGAACACAGCCAGCACTGGTGACAGGTCGGTTCCAAGTTCTGATCATGTACCAGCGCCATCCGGTTTTCGAAAGGAGGCACGCGCGACGCTCAGGTTCAACATAAAGACTGAGGGCACCCTAGCGTAACCGGGTGCTCCCGACGTTAGACCCTACTCGCCAACTTGTTGAGCAGGTTTCCTTTCTGCTGCACCCGCTCGTTTCCCATTTGTGCTTTCGTTTGCAGAGAATCAGCGACACAGCACAGGCAAGCTCTCTCTTTTGGCCAAGTGTTCTTGCATGAAACTGCTATGCAACATATTCGGCTCTATCTCAGAGGGTGGGAAAGTGTTGGATCCCGTCGTGGATGTAGAGGGCAATTTAACGCTGAACAGGTTTCTTCTTCAGATACGGGGCGTTAGGTTGCCGGAGTCCGCTTTTGGTGAGGTTTTGGTCGGTCTCTACCTAAGTTTGCTCTTTGGGTACCCATCATTGCCCTTTCCCAGAGTGTCGTTTTAAAGGTTGGACCGCCCGAAATGACTTCGGCTTTCCTTTTGGTTTCCCTTTAAGACCTCAACCAACAAGGCGTTCCCGTCAAACAGTTCGCGCCCAATCTGAGGCCTGAGGAGGAGTCCAAGGAAGCTAGCCCAGACCTCGAGACGTCGTCGGATGGAGGGGGGGGCCTGGTTTGCAGTTGGCCCACAGACTGAACTCACCATTTGGGCGTGTCATTTTTTGGGGGTACCACCAAACCTGGCGGTTTTCCTTCTGGTTTCCCTTTACAGCCACACAACAACATAAAGCACACCCGCCAAAAAGAAAAGCACACCCATGTTGCTTTTTGGTGCCTTCCGACCGGCGACTAAGTAACTTTGCGCATGGGGTCGTGCACCAAATGAAAAAGTCACCCCAGAAAGGTTTTAAACAAGTACCCTGCTTGGGTGGGTTTAGGAAGCCAACAGAGAGCAGGACCGCAATTCATTGCGGAGGTGCGTTCATTTGAAGCCAAGCCCATGCTTTTGCTCACACGGGTTCCGAGCACTGTTTCCGTTGGGCGAAATCTTTTTCGGAGTGGGTTTCTGCTTCGAGGAAAGCCTGGGTTGCCTAAAACCAATGCCCAAGTTGGGGGGTTGCCTGGACACCAGTCACGACGGTCCCTTGCTAGAGGATAACATTGCCAGTAGATTTATTTGTTTGAGTGCATGCATGTGTGTATGCATAGTACACATATATATATATATATATTCACATATGGTACCCGTGCAGGGACCCGCCTTGTTGAAGACTTCACTGGTATTTGCGGTGTGTTCTCTTGATGTCAGAGTCAGCTCAGCTTTGTTGCCGCATTTCCTGATACATCAACCACATAATTGTTCAATCAGCTGTGTGCACATGCCATGCATCAAATCCATGACATCTTAGCCACGAGTGGATCGGCTCCGTTCCTCAGGCCGGCCAAAGGAGCCGGAAGTGCCGGAGCTGTCCTTTGTGCATGTGAACATGGAGGACCCGAAACGAGAAGAATTTGTCGGAGTCGGAAGGTGAGGTGACTGGGGCAGTTTCTTGGGTGTTTCAAAGCTGGGGGTCTTCTCCAATAGAAAAACATGTTTGGTTTTTAAGCTTTGTGTTTTCTCCTTTTTTTTAATTAAACACAAAAAGCAAAGATGTTTGAAAGGTATGGGTTTGATGCACATCTGGTGTTTTATGTGTGTTTCCCTTTTGGACAAAGCTTAAGCAAGGTGACTTCAACCCAACATGGGACGCTCTTGGCGGGGTTGGTAGGGATCTCCTTAAGTTATTCTGCAGTCGAGTATTCACCTATTCTTCCCCAGAATTAGTTCCCCCCCCTTTTTTTTTTTTTTTTGCTTTTTTGGAGTTCCCTTTGTTTTCCACCGGGCAAAAAAGAGATACTTTAGAGCCTCCGGCTCAGTCCGCCGACATTGTCCTCTCCCTTGTCTCCTTCTTCCTCTCTCCCTTGTCTCCCTCGTGTGCTCTGTCGTCCTCTCTCCCTCCCTCTGCTCCCCATCCTCCCCATCCCCCCAAGCCTCTCTCTCCTCAATCTCCCCCTCCCTCCCTCCCTCCCTCCCTCCCTCCCTCCCTCCCTCCCTCTCTCTCTCTCTCTCTCTCTCTCTCTCTCTCTCTCTCTCTCTCTCTCTCTCTCTCTCTGTTTCTCTGTCTCTTTTTGTCTCCCTGTCTCCTTCCTGTCCACGCCCCTCTACAGAAAAAGGGTACCCCAATTCGAACCTCTCTACTCTCTGACTTTCTCGCTCTTTCTCTCTGTCTCTCTCTCTCTCTCTCTGTCTTTCTGTGTCTCTCTTTCTCAGTCTCTCTCTTTCTCTCTCTGTCTCTCTCTCTCTCTGTCTCTCTCTCTGTCTGTCTCTTTCTCTGTTTCTCTGATTCTGGCTCTGTCTCTGGCTCTGTCTCTGGCTCTGTCTCTGTCTCTCTTTCTCTCTCTCTCTCTCTCTCTCTCTCTGTCTCTGTCTTTCTGTGTCTCTCTTTCTCAGTCTCTCTCTTTCTCTCTCTCTCTCTCTCTCTCTCTCTCTCTCTCTCTGTGTCTCTCTCTCTCTGTCTGTCTCTTTCTCTGTTTCTCTGATTCTGGCTCTGTCTCTGGCTCTGTCTCTGGCTCTGTCTCTGTCGCTCTCTCTCTCTCTCTCTGTCTCTCTCTCTCTCTCTCTCTCTCTCTCTTTCTCTTTTTTTTGTCACTCTCTGTGTCTCGCTCTCTCTCTCTCTCTCTCGCTCTCTCTCTCTCTCTCCCGCGCTCTCCCTGTCTCTCTCTCTCTCTCTCTGCATTGCAGCGTCGCGTCCCCGCTGAGTTGCCTCGATGTCCGGGCACTGCCCCTTCATGACCCTGAACTGTCATCTCACTACTGGCTTTCCCCTTGATTTCCCCTTCATGTCCTTTTCACGTTTCCCATGATGTCCTGGTCATGTCCCTTCCATGCCTTTCAACTCCCCCTGCATGTCCCTGACATTTTCTCGGCATGTCCGCTTCATTTTCCATGCATGTCCCGTTCTTTCGTTGCGAGTCATTTCCCTACATCTCCCATCGTGCCGATTGGTTTCCTGGTGCTTTTATTTCCCTTTCATTCCCCCTGCACTCCCCTTGTTTTCATTTCTGTCCCTTGCATGTCCCTTTCAGTTCCCCTTTGTTTCCCTTTCATTTCCCGCTGCTTTCCTGTCATGTCGACTTCCTATTTCCTCCCCTCATTTCCTTAGGAACCCCAAACCAGCAAAGAGCCGGCAGGGGAAATCGAGCCTGGGACCCCTGTTCACCGGCTCCCCGAAGACTACGTTTAGTGGAACGTCATCAAATTGCCGCGCGGTCCGGAGGGGGGGGGGGAACCCTGCGTAATTGACGTGTCCCGGAGGGGCACTATTATGGACCAGCTTCTGGTTGGGGGGGGGCTGAGGGGTGGGACTCGTTCCCACAAAGTTCCGGTTCCTGGGTTTGGTGTGTCCCCACTAAAAATGGTCAACTCAAGAAACGGGTCCCTTACCAGCATCACTGGGACACTGGGTGTTCATGCTCCTAAAGCCCGGTCGGCTAAGTTGGAAGTTCTCCTGGAGCCTAATTCTTGTGAACAGTCTCTGGGGTTTGCGCGCTGCTTCTGTTTTTGCAGCTAATAGAGTGGAATCTTGCGTGGCGAGGACTGCCGGAATGTCCTCCGGGGCGTTCCCTGCGCAGCGAACAACCATCTCAGAACTGGAGCGGACAAGGGGAATCCAACTGTTTAATTAAAAAAGCATTGCGATGGCCTCACAAGGTGTTGGAAATGTGACTTGTGTCCAGTGCTCCGAATGTCAAAGTGATGAAATTCAATCTTACGCATAAAAACAAAGGTCTCCCTGCTTTGCAAAGAAACAACACCCAATGTGCTTGGTGGTCCCGCATTTAGACTGCACAGCACGACATGAGCAGAACAGCACGCGCTCGTTTATCACACGAACACAAACAGTGCACGCACACGCGCATGCACGCTCACAATTTGCGAAAATTTCCCTCAACAGTCACCTCACAGCATCTACCTGACACCTTGGGGCAAGCCCTTGTGAGTTCCATCCCAACGACAGGAGGGCATATTATCTCACATTGTACTGTAGTATCTTGCTATGTATCTACAGTAGTACAATCATATATATATATATATGCATATTAAATATATAAGTGTATATATATATATATGCATATTGTATATAAGTGTATATATTATATATATACACATATTAATATACACGTTGTTGACGGGGTCCCCGATTGGGTCTGGAAATTGGACCCCCTAGGCGCTGCTGGAGCCGTACCCTGAGCTCCCGGCGCCGCCGGTGCTGAAGCAGCGGCCCCGCGCTTTGGGCCGCAGTGCGAGGGCCGTTTTTTGTTTGTTTGTTTTTTTCTCCTTGTTTTTTGTTTCCCTCATGTTTTTTTTTTTTTGTTTTTGTTGTTTTTTTTTCTCTTCTTTTCTTTTTCATTTGGGATCCTTTTTTGGTTGTTGTTGCAAAGTTACTGAGCTGGGGGTCTCCAAACTTGCTTCCTAAACAGGGGAACCAGCGGAGGATCCGTTCAAGTCACCTTGCTGTTGCGATAGGCAGGCAATGGGTGGGTTGGGGTGGCTCTGATAAACCATTCCTTGTGGCTTCCTTTTGAACCATTCCTTGTGGTTTGCTTGAAGGGAATCCCTGAATTCATTCTCACACCCAGCTACTGAGCACCAGTAAGTTACCCAACTAGCTGCTACGGAGCTGGGAGTTATTCACTGGTTTACCATTTTTTCCATACAGGGACGCTAAGGAGCTACCAGGAGCTACCAGGAGGTTATCCAGTTTCACCCCTTGGGAAACCAGGAGATCCGTTTGTTGCTTCTTTTTTTTTCTTCCCCGGACGCATTTGACACTGGACACCGGGAGATCTGGCTTTTGTTTTTCCCAGACCCCTTTGCCCCGAATTTGACGCTAATAGGCGTTCATTTTACCCAAAGGGATCAAACCACCAACTTGGGGATGCGTTGTTTTTTCCCCCAGAGGCCCATGACACTCAGGATGGTAAGGGTTTACACAGTGTTGCTTGTATTCCCCATTCCGGTATGTGGCAAAGCAAGGGAGCCCCCCGAACCGGTGGCATCTTTTCCGGGGGTGTCCCATCAAACCAACCCATGTGGGTGTGTCATCTGATGATGGTTTTCCCTTCGTTTCCCTTTGACACCTTCGCGGTTTGTTTCGAAAGGAAACCAAAAGGAACACCTGCAGTTTGGTGGTTCCCCCCCCAAAAAAAAGAAGACGCACCCATGTGGGTATGGCCCAGTATGGCTCAAACATTAAACAACCAGTGGAGCGCAGGTTTTAGGGCATGTTTCCACTTACCAGGGTTCAATTTTGTGTGCCTATTTTTGTTTTAGTCTTTGTTTCCATTTACCAAGGGGCCATTTGGGGTACCACTTTTTGAGCCACAGCGTGGGAAACGAATCAGGCAGCCGATTTCTTGTGTCGAAACATTGGCCTCGACTTTTCAACGGAGGCGCCGAGCGGCGGCGCTCAGGCGAGGTCCGAAGCGAATAGAAACCCGAAAGGCTCCACTCCATTGAAAAAACTTATCCATGGAGGTCTTTGACTCAATGCCCTGCCTAAGTTTTTTTTTTTGCATAAGAGAGGCTAGAACCATTCAGGTCACCCTTAGGTTGGTGGTTTGGATCGTACTGTGGATGGTTGCGACATCCTCTTGGGCACCACAGCTCACAACGCCTGGAATGAGCATTTTTTTTTATCGAAAATATCGCAATCAACGTTATGGTTTCAACTTTCAACCATGATTTCAAAGTGGTTTAGAATTTACCTCCACCCACAGTATGGAGGTCTTTGACTCAATGCCCTGCTGATCTGCTGCGGGTTAGAGCCATTCAGGTAGCGAGTTGTTGGTTTGGATTGGGACTGCGGATTTGAACCACCCGGGTAACCAAACCATCAATGCAATTCAAACTTGAAAGGAACAATCAAAAAACATATTTGCACAGTGAATTTGCAACTGAAGTTGCACTTCGAAGAATGAAATTGGTTTGGAGAGCCTCCTAATACGACTGTGGGTTGGCAGGGGATTTGCTGGCTTAGTATTGGTTCAGTGCTGTCCCGATTCTTGTTTAGTGTTGGGGAGTTTTGGATTCGGGAAACTGTGTATTGAGAGGGCTTATTTCTTCATATGCGGAAATGATTTGTTCCCCTCTAGCCAGCAGAGCGTGAAACACCTTTTGAAGGGGTCTGAGACCAACCCAGTCTGATTGCCCAAGTTTGGAAAACATATTGTTTGAACGGGATAGCTGGGTGCTGCTCCCTTGAAAGCCTTGTGCAAGCAAGCCATCGCCAGCGGCAGTCAAGTCCATGTGACCTTTACTCCAATGGCCCGGTCTAGACGACTCGCGACCAGAGCCGGAGCTTGCCTTTGGCTCACGTCTGGCCTTCACGAATCCATGGCAGTGGACAATGGGCACACTGAGGTGCTGTGAGCACGCGGGGTGAGACGTTTTTGATTCATTGCCCTGTGGGAAGTCAGCATTTCTCTGGTGCTTATATAAGGTCTCGGAAAGGGAGGCACATTTCTAGGTCTTTTTGTGTGTTTGCCCGCAGGGGATGGGGGTTTCACTTGAAAGACAGCTACCACAATTGGTCCATGTCGTCTACAGCTTAGTGGATGCTTCCGGCTTCGTTGGTGTTTTTCAAATCGAAAGGCTAGGACTGCAAATCGCATCACAGGTATGGCGCCTACAGTGAAAGCAACCACCGCATAGAAGCGAACCATGTCTCCCTTGACCTGCTGACCTTCCAGAGGCCTTAGCAGTTTTGACATTTTCTGCCTCGATAAGTCCTACTCACTTCCCCAGAGGTAGGCCTTAGATGGGTATGCCCAAAAAAGGGCCGCAGGTTTTTGTCCTTGTTTCCATCTACCAGGGTAACTCATTTGGTGCCTATTTTTGACAACCACACCCACGCTGCCCACGTAACTCCCATTTGCTTAAGTATGTTTTTTGTTTTTTCTTTATTATCCCTTGTTGGTGTTAAAAAGAGTTTATCACTACTGGCCATATTTTTTCATTTTTTCCAGGGGTCGAAGAACCAAATGGAAGGTAACTTTCATTTGGTTTCAGCCGCGAAATGCATCTTTCTGCGGCGCAGGGCCTGCTCGCCCACGGGCCTTCAAAGAGGACGCGCATCGTCTTTTTCGCCGGACGTCTTTTTCGCGTCTCGAGATGGGTATGGGTCAAAATTAAACCACCAGGAATTGGGCCGCAGGTTTTGGTCCATGTTTCCACTTACTAGGGTAACCCATTTGGGGTACCCATTTTTGACTGACAGCCAGATGTCGGTTGAAGATTCCTTGTGGGCGTTGCGGGTGCCAACTGGGCCAACCTGCTATGTTTTCCCCAGGGCTGGGGTATGCTGGGTCCCTGCTGGACATCATTGAGGGTCCCCGGGTACCCCCCCCCTCAGGCACTGTGAGTGTTCGAGTAGGCCTTTCGATTCTCGCTCATGTTCCGGGTGTTCTGGGCCAAGTTTGTTTCGTGACATGTGCACATTCAGATGGCAGGTGCGAATTGACGCACACATGTCGGTGTGGGCAACGATATAACAGCTGGAGAGGTTGGAAAAAGGCTTCTAAACGTGTGGCTCTCTGACAAGCTCAGTTTTTGGTTGTTGCGATGGCTGTCCCAGTTGTGTGTGGCTCTTGTTGTTGAGGGTATCTTTTTCGGGTGGTTCTCAAGGGGAACCTCTCCGGCCAGCGTTGGTGTCCCACCCATTTGGCCCGCAGGAGCGTTCTGTGAGGCAAGTAGGGAGCCCTTCCAGCACCATGGCATGGTGGGAAGGGGGAGTGAGCTTGGGATCTGAACAAATTGGATCGGCGTCTCAATATTGTATTATATTATATATATATACACACATATGTGTATTACATATATATATATATATACACATGGGCGCTGTATATATATATATATATATATATATATTAAAACACGGGATCCCCTAAGAATGGTTGGTTTTCTTTTGGATTTCCGAAAGGGGACTCCTCACAAAGACACACCCAGCCGACTTGATGCACTTGATTTCCCGCTTCTGTTGGAGCCGAAAAAGGACGCAGCTGGACCAAAGACTTTAGCGAATCGGCCGGATCCGACCTTTTGGCTTTCCTATCGGCCGGTGGACGAAATCCAGTTCGCACCACCCAAGACATGGGGAACCATTGTTTGTTGGTATTTACGTCGGGGAATCGAATCAATCCCAAGGTTTCTGATCGGTGGTGCGAGTGCACCTTTAGTTGTGGGCCCCAAAGGTTAAACCTTCTATCTCCACGTCCTCCAGTTTTTTTTGGGGGGTTTAAACTTTTTTTGTCTGAAGCCCAATCGACTTCTTGGTGCTCGTTTTGGAAACTTTGAGTCATGGCCCCAAAGGCTAACTGTCTCCAGGTCCTTTGGCAAATAAGCATCTGATTCGCGGATGTTCTTGAACGACCCACTTCGCGAATGGGGAAAGGTTTCCTTTCTGTTTGCCTTTGCTTGGAATACAGGTCAAATGTAGGACAGCTTTCCAGACGGCGATAGCACTTGCCTATGAAGGGGTCAGTGGCCCTTTTGATGGCATCAACGAGTTCTTCAATCCCGTACGAAGGGTCTTCAAAGTAAAAGCCGTCTCCAGCGCAAGGGCAAAAGATCGATTGGGGGGTCCTTCGGCTTTCTTACAGCCTGAGCACAAGATAAATCGCTGGCCTGCTCAAAGGCGGAATCGCACCGAGAGCTGCAAGCTCCTTCCAAGGAAGAATAGATCATACGCATAGGATTCACCCCCCTCCCCCAACTTGCCCCGGTTGCCTCCAGGCAGAGAAAGGTGTCCCAGTGGCTACATGCTGTGGACGGACGAAGAAGCCCAGCAAGGATTCGATTCCCCTGTAAATACCAACAAACAACAGCTTCCCATGGATTCAAAGTGGTGCGAACGCATTTTGTGCGCCCTTCATGCAAATATGGAGCTGCGCAGGATCCCATTCAGATAGAAATTGTCTTCCTCCTACGACATGGGTATCAGGTCCCTTTTTTCCTGAGTTGCAGGGACGAACTTGTTGCTCTTGTGACGTCTTTGGAGCAACCCTGCAAGGGGATCTGCGCATGTCCATGTTTCTGGGTTCAACTAAACAAACGAAGGGGCCTCTTTTTTGGAGGTCCATTGTGTGTGTGTGTGTGTGTGTGTGTGTGTGCGTGTGCGTGTGCGTGTGCGTGTGCGTGTGCGTGTGCGTGTGCGTGTGCGTGTGCGTGTGCGTGTGCGTGTGCGTGTGCGTGCGTGTGCGTGTGCGTGTGCGTGCGTGCGTGTGCGTGTGCGTGTGCGTGTGCGTGTGCGTGTGCGTGTGCGTGTGCGTGTGCGTGTGCGTGTGCGTGTGCGTGTGCGTGTGCGTGTGCGTGTGCGTGTGCGTGTGCGTGTGTGTGTGTGTGTGTGTGTGTGTGTGTGTGTGTGTGTGTGTGTGTGTGTGTGTGTGTGTGTGTGTGTGTTTGTGTGTGTGTGTGTGTTTGTACCCCTTTCCGGGTGCTTTAAAGTGAAGTCAACAAGCAAACCAGCATTTTGGGGAGTCTGCGGAGTCTCCTATTCTTGACACATACCCGATCCACAAATGCACCGGTTGGATTTCGGTGGTCTTTCCAGTATGGCCTAGGTGTTGTTTTTGCTCATCCCATTTGGTGCAGGATTTCGGGCATCCGTATGTTTGGGTTACCTCGTTTGCCGTGCGCAGTGAGCCGAGTTTGGACTGGTGGCTGTTTACTCCGCAAGCATGGAACCCGATCCCGGGGCCCCCAAGGATTGCCGAATGCAGGAGAGCAGGGTATGCATCGTACCGGTGACATGCCGCCCTGCTCATGTGGAAATGTTTGCGTGTCTTGTGTTGAGGGTACTTTTTAGGGGTTGTATGAGAGGAAACTCAAAGGGAACCCACCCGCTTTAGGGTATTACAATTTGTTGATAAACCAATGTGTCCAAATCAGCTCTGACAGAGCTGCTATGCTCGTACAAGTTGGATCAAGACTTGCTTAGACATGAGCATGTGTGCGTTGGACGCACTTAGGCAAATTATTTCGGCGAGGTATCACCAAGCATTCCTATATACATACACATATAGGCATTCACATATATATATATATATACATATGTATAGCTATATATATATACACATGTATACATGTATATATATATATATGTACAGTAGACATATAAACACGTTCGGGGGTGGGGGTCCAACCTGAATTTCCCCAGAGCAGCGAAGAGGCTTTTGCTTGAGGCCCCTTCCGCGCCCCAGTGCGGGTGAAGAAGCCAGCAACCGTGGCCTGGCTGAGGGGCTCTGGTTTTTCTTGCTGGTGGTGGTTTCCTGAAGAGGAATCATGACACTGTCCAATCAGCAGGGAATGACCCCTGCAAGCCATCCCCTATGGTTTCCTTCAAGGGATTCCCTAGGTTTATTCCATGTCCAAGTTCCTGGTTGGGTTCACGACCATCCATTTCCAACCTTAGGGAAAAGTTGGTATTTGACCATGGCACGAATGGCCCAAATATGCGGCAGCAACAGATGAGATGCTTGTCCATATCTGGTCTACCTCACAACATTACCCTCCTATTAATATGGCACCTGACAGGGAAATGGTCCCTTCAAGAAGAAATTAGCGATCTCCCACATAAACACAAAAGACAGGTGCGATGTTAGTCTGGGCTGGGCGATTCTCAGCAGGGAATGGCCCCTGCAAGCCATCCCCTATGGTTTCCTTCACGGGATTCCACAGGTTTATTCCCGATCCCTGAGTCATTCCTGCCTGAGCACCAGCAAGTGTTTTTTTCTTCTGCAGATCTAAGAACCAACAAGGGTCGACCAGAGTTTCCCTCTGGACCTCCAAAAGAAGCAGTTGCATGTTGGAACAGCAAATTGAACTCATTTTGACCACTGCTTGTATTTCACTTTCGGGCAGGTTAAGGTTGTGCAAGGGGATTGGTGGTTTGAGCAGACATTTGGTTGGGGCTCCTAGAGAACTCAGTGAACTCGTCGATTTCCTTGTACGGGCCCCCAAGAGATCTCTTTCGAACTGGCTTGCATTTTTCAGGTTCTCTAAATACGGTTCCAGGGTAAATCCAAAGTAGCAACCAAGAACCCAGCAAGCACGGGCGTTTTGTTTGGTTTTTTGAAGCGCAAGACCAGTTTTCAATATTAGATGTGAAGCCCCCGCCGAACATGTGGCTTTCCTCGGATTTGGACCCCTCTTGCCCTTGGAATTGGACCCCAAGCTGGCCGGCGTTTGCAGCCACCACGGTTCCCTTTGGTCTCACACGGGTCCAACACTCGCGCCGGTCGCGTGAGGTGGTGGCCAAACATCGGCCCTTGGTGGTGCTCTTGCCGGGCGAGGGCTATGCCAAGCGCTCCAAGGCGTCCGGTGAATGGAATGGGCCCGAAATGCTTCAGGAAATCGGCCGAAAGCTGAAAAAGCATGAAGCCTGGCTCCGATTTGGAGGATTAGGCTTCATGACATTGCCAGAGTTAGCTTCTTATGTTTGTTTTTGCTTAAAGTGCTTGCCTTTACACACGTTTCTAGTACGCTTGCGGCTACCTGAGCCCGGTGAACATGACAAGGCTAACTGGTTTGAAGGTCGCACACAGAATGAACTATCGTCATCAACAGCCACTTGGATTGTTGGAGACGGGCGCCGTGCTACTTTGCCCAGCGTCAAACTCCCCGCCCCCATTGCCGAAAAGGGGCATTCCTGGAACCTTCTCCTCGGCCCTGGTTTTCTCCGGGCTGGTTTTTTTTGTTCGAGGCCAGTCAAGCCACCGAGCGCCTGCTTTATCGCACCAAGGTAAAGCCCTAGAGCCCGAGAGGCCATTGGTGCTTCAAGTGATATCAAAGATGGTCTTTGTTATTTGCGGTCTACTGTTTGCGGCTTGTCATGGAATCTACATGGGGTGTGTAAAACGGTTTTCCTTTTGGCTTCCCTTGAAAGCAACCAACACAAAGATACGCCAACTCAAAAACAGACGAGCCACCCAGATTAGCTTGCATCTGCTTGAGAGCCTCAGGCAGTCGCCTTCGATTCCCCGCGGAAAGGACGTGCAGGCCGGGAGCCTGACGGCGCTTTCTCGAAAACTGGCTGCGGCAACCCAAAATGGCACCTTGGTATGAAGATGAAAGCCTTCGTAACCCCGGCTGTTTTATTTTGAGACACCCTGCTCCCTGAAAATAAGAAACGTGAGCCCAAAGGGGGTGCCCCAAAAGGCTCGATTCCTCAATTCCTGCAAAGATATGTAAGAGGCCATGGAAACGTCTAGCTGTGATGCAGCCGCAGTGGACGCAAACTGCCTGAAATGCTCATGATGCAGCAGCAGAAGGCCCAACATGCTAAAGCGATACTGGGCCAATGCTGCGGCTGGCTTTGGTGGTTCCATGATGTCCAAGTTTGACAACATGGCGGCGTGGGCCTACATACGAATGACCTGTGACATGCGATATTTTTGCATGACGAGGCAGACATGTTGAAGGGCTTCCCAACCAATGGCAGCATTCCAGGCGATGTGGCTGCATCCATGAACTGGACTCTTTAATATTATTTGCATTGCTAAGCACAACCGCAGGTGATGATGTAGCAATGCTAGTGATGCAGCCGCATGCCCAACATGTGAGACCATGGCAATGCTGATGATGTAGCCGCAGCAGGCTGAGACAGCAGGCGGAGTGGGACCCTGGCAATGCTAATGCAGCCACAGCAGGCACAACATGCTAATGTCATACTGCATGGGACCCTAGCAATGCTGCTGCAATGCTCATGATGACACGCTAAAGTGATACTTCGTGGGACCCTGGCAATGCTAATGATGCAGTCGCAGCAGGCTAAAGTGATGCTGCATGGGACCTGGCCAATGCTGCCGCTGCCATGCAAGTGATGCAGCTGCCGCAGGCACAAATGCTAATGCAGCCGCTGCAGACACAACATGCTACAGTGATAGCGCGTGGCAATGGCAATGATGCAGCCGCAGCACAGCAGGCCCAAAATGCTTCCCTGACAATGCTAATGATGCAGCCGCAGCAGGCATGCATGCTAAAGTGATACTGTGTGGGAACCTCGCAATGCTATGCTTGGGACCTTGACACAGCCACGGCCTAGTCGTTTAGATGCATTCTTCTCACACCAAGTATGAACAACCCAAGTAGGGTCTTTTCCTCGTCAGTCCATCCCAACTTCCATGGATCCTCAATTGCCAGTCGCACGGACCCAAGTGTGCCAGGCTACTCCTCCATGGATGAGGAGAATAGGCCGGGGCTTTGGCAAAAGAGCGAGTTGATGGTGCAAGTCTTGGCAAAAACGATCACGAGGCCACCCATCCGGCGCACCCATGATGAAGTTCCTTTTCTGTAGGTCTGTAGGTCCCTTCTTTTTAGTTTGGGCACTGTGGTTCTTGAACGGGTGCACGGGTGCATGTGTCTTGGACTTAGCACCGTGGAGCTTTTTCCGCGAGGGACTGGTGAGTTTGCGAGTTCCATCTCAGCGCCCGTTTAAACGCGGTTCAAAGGCAACCTGAGAGATCCTTCTTCGAGTGGATGTGGCTTGTCTCCAAAAGCGCTAAGTTTGTATTTAGTGTACAGGGTAGACCAAACATGGGCCAGAAGTTTGAACAAGCCAATTTTAGAGAGATTAGGGTCCGAACGGCATCGTTGCGGTTCCCACTTTCGAGTAGCAAACCACAGCTTGCCTAAAAGTTATGGCAGGTCTTTCTGGATAAGTCGTAACGAGTTTGCATGGGGGTAAAACGAGCTCAACGAAGATCCTTGCAGTAGGGTGATTTCAAAATTTGCCCAAAGAACTTGCCCCCAGGTCCTGGTCTCTTTGCTTGGCTTTGGTATCCACCCCTCGGTTTCCAAAGAATTTGCCCAGATCTCTTTGCTTCGCTTGGGATCCACCCCTCGGTTTTGCTTCGCTTTGGGATCCACTCCTCGGTTTCTTAGTGGCGGAGTGGGGGACACTTCGATGCTGAGGCTGGTGCAGGAGATTGCACAGCTCTCACGGAGGATTGAGCAGCTGCGAGCGGGGAATGGCTAATGCTCAGGACACAAAGAGGTCCTTTTTGGTTGTGTTGCCAGAAAAATAGATGGCGATTCCTGGTTTACCTGGTGGTTTTTCCTCATCTACCAGGGAAACCCATCAATTTCCCCTAAAAAGACACCTATGCCTCAGGGCACAAAGATGTCCGGAAAACAGCGCACGGGTGCGGCTCGTCCATGTCGACCGCATTTGGGTGCGGCTCGCTGCGCAATTTTCACCGTTTAAAGGTACAAGACAAAGGTGAAAAAAAGGTACCAAATGTTCCCCAAATGTACCCAAAGGTATCTTATCTTGTTCCCCAAATGTTTAAAGGTTCAAGAACAACCATTCTTGGGGTCCCCCTTATTCTGGCGCCGTTACTCCACGTCTGACTTCAGGCAAGAAGCCTCCGATGAGAAGGGCAACTGGAAGGGACATGGGGACGGGACTTATTTGCATCGGACAATTGCGGGCTTCCTGATACGTGGCCACACCCAAGGCCAAACATCGATTCAGAATAGCTGACTTGTTGATGAGGGGGCTGATTCCGCTGTGGCCTCGGCTAGATAGTGGGCCTTCTTTGTGTCCCCCCGGTTGCATCGGACACACAGCTGCCGCACTACTGTGGATCGAAATCCTGCACCACCGATCAGAAACCCTGGTTTCTGATGATTTCCATGTAAACACTACCAATCGTGATGGTTTCAACCATTGTTTCATTTCGTGGTGCGAAATACCACCTAAGAAACCCTGATTTTTGATGATTTGTATGTAAATACAAAACCGTGGTTTCCCATTGTTTCCTCAGTACTTCCATTTGTTGGTTTTAAAGGAAATCTATCACTACTGTTTTTTTTTTTCATTTTTGTCCAGGGGTCTTAACCAAATGGAAGAGTAGGGACAAACATCAATGCGAGCCGCTGGCAGAGCCTGGAACGCCGACTTCTCCCCCAATGACCCATGACAGGGCTGGCCTGACGTGAGAAGATGAGGGCCGGAGCCGTTGCCACATCGCTGGTTTCCTTTGGGTTTCCCTTGAAAACAACCCGGAAAAGGGTACTCTCAAACAAGATGCACTGATGTGTCTTGAGGTCGTGTAGCGTTGGCCGGAGAAACGTGCAACAAAAAGTGGTTCAGTTCGGCCCGCCCAGCAAGAAATTTGTGTTTGGCAAAGAATCCAACATTCGTTGTCAAGAGGGGGAAGGCGTATGGGTTTGTCTCCAAATGGTTGACCGCCCCAAATAGTTGTTTGTTGGGGGGGTCGTCCCCAACAGAAGACCAATCAATCACATCGCGCCTCAAGCAGAGACACCGATACTGCTCTAGGCTAGATTACCATCAGAGGGGTCGCTTGTAACGTGTGCGTGCGGGCGGGCGGGCGTGCGGGCGTGGGTGGGTGTTTTATGAAGGTACCCTTTTTAGCTTGGTTCAAATGAAGAGTGTGCAATTGGACGACCACCATTTTTTGGGTCCCCCCCCATACTTCACATACCATGGTGCATTTGGTGCACTTGGTGCATTTGGGAGGAACACAAGGGGCTTGCCAACCGCAACGGGCAATAGAATCTTTTTAGTTGATGCCATGAGGCCGCGGAACCAATCCTACTGTGGGTGGACAAAATCCTGCACCATTTGAAACCATGGGAAACCGTTGTTTGTTGGTATTCACAGGCGAATCATCATGCCAGGCTTTCTTAGGTGGGGCAGGATTTCGTCCATCCACAGTATGAGGGAATACTGCAGGTTTTGACCAAGATGTTCCTGTGCTTTTCGGGGGGGGGGGGGGTATGCCATCCTTCCATATGCTGAAATGAATATTTTTTGTTTTCCCCTGTTGGCTTTGCACGGAAATTATCACTACTGGACATATGTTATTTTTCCAGGGGGCTTAAGCAAATGCTGGCTGTCTGAAATGTGGACCTCTTGCTCCGCCCCGACGTTTTCCGCGTGGGGCCAGCCTTGGCATCGTACAGTAACGCGGCCAAAAGTGGACGGCGCTGTTTTTCCTCTTTCTTTGTTTCTTCTTCTTCTTCTTCTTCTTCTTCTTTCGGTCCTCGTGAGACGTGACTTTGGCGTTCAAGACACTATCCTCTCACTTTCATTACCAGATACAGTATTTGGTCTTCAATGCTACTCGACTTTGAGAAGATGTGTGCTAGGTCCCTTGAAAGGACATATTTGGTCCAGTTTTGACCTCACCTCTGAATTGTGGGGATCCTTGCCCTGTTTTAGATCTTCCAGGTTTCTTCGGAGCCAAGGTCTTTTGTTAGGGGAGTCCCCAAAATGGTGGTTGCGCTTTTGGTTTCGCTTTCAAACCACCAATCCAGGGGTACACACACACACACTGGAGGGCCAAGGGTCCATGAGCTGCTTGGTAGGAACTTGTTTGCGTGTTGGTGTGGTGATGATTCATCATATATACTTTATACCCTGCCCCCACCCACTAACAGTGGATGATGGACACTTAGATCAACCACTAACATGGTCTTCCAAATTGTGGTGACTGTTAGTGTTTGGGGGCAGGGTCCAATACATACTGCACAAATATTGCATCTCTTGGTATGGAAAACTACCATAAGCATCCAACTAGACTTCCCTTCAACAGGCAACTTCAACGTCACCTGGTGCCTTGTAGTCCGATTAAGACTTCGGTGCGATGTCAAAGGGGGACTAGGAGCCGTATGTACTTTTTACATACTCCATGTTCCTTCTTCAGCAATTTCAGGGCTCCTTTGATGTTTGATTGATGGCTTCTCTTGTTCACGAGCGACAGGCTGAGTTGGCAAGGGTGAGCCACACCAAAAAGGTAGCGAGTGGGTGTTGGTGTCAACCATGGAACCACCAATGGTTGGTTTACCTTCGGCTTTCCTATCCAACCAACATTTAGGACTAGCAACTCTTTTGACGTCACTTGAAGCAAAGGGATCCCCGATGTTAGGACCAAAATCAAGTCTGTAGCAAGAGTGTCTCTTTATTCGTGTTTTGTCGTTTGTCTTTTGTTTCGTCTATCTTTGTTTTTGTTTGTATGCGTTTGCTTTTCCCTCCCGTTCATTTTCCTAGAGTGTCACCAATGTTAGGACAAACTCCATGCAATGCCAAACACTGCCAAGTCAGAGCCATAGGCCTCCGTTCCGCTCGCAGTGAGAGAGATATTTTTATCCCGCGGCAAACGCACGCAACGGACGTGCTGGTCGCGCGTTGCGGACCATGGAAGAGGCGGGGAGGGTTGGGCTAAATGTGTTCGAACAACTGGACCCTAGTCCGCTTTAGGCACATTCTTTCGGCGTCCCTTTGGAACTTTGCATCGGTACTTGGCCTTAGACAACAGCCCCTATTGCACAGCTAAAACTGCTACAACGAGATTGCGCGATGCTCGTGAATTCTCACCAGATTCGATATGAGCACAACATTTAATTGGGAACCATTTGGTGAACGTCAGTTGGGTTCGGATTGATGTCCACCCACTACGTGGGACGGTATTCTCTTAAAAGTAATAGCCATATATTGCTGCTATGCCAAGTTTGATGTTCAGGAGGTAACTTTTCCATGGCAATGGTTTCAAGCTCAAAACAAAAACAACAACAGGCTTTGATGTACCAATTCTTGGGCGGCTTCTTGTCCTTGGCATTGAGCGTATTTGACTGGTTTCTCCCGTTGCCTCGGGGGCCCGACCACATCAATTCATCAAGGCGGACGTTGCCTAAACAGCCGGACGCTGGTTCCCTACATGGTGTTTGAATAAAAGCTGTTCGAAAGTGTTAAAACGAGGGTTTGACAGCCAACCCTCCATTTCATTCCCAAGTTGTGAACTCCCATTGGTAGGCAGCCGCCGGCGACTCAGCGGCTGAAACGACCTGCCAGGATCCGCCCACTCCGAAGACTCCGCCAAGGCTCTGCAGCAACTGGGGAAGGATGGATTGTTCAGGAGAAAAAGGCTCCGCCACTTTGCATGGTTTGTTTTTGGTCTCCCTTGGTGGAAACTATTCAAAAAGGGACTCCCTGATTGAGTAAACACCCTTGTGTCGATTTCGGCCAGCTTGGACACGACAGAGAATCGCGGAGAGGTCAAAGTGTTTTGCGTGTCTCGGCAAGAAGTGTGCAAAGCGGGTGCACTGGCGCAGTGTCACTTTGTTCCAGGACCCAATAGGACCCCCCCCCTTTTTGGGCGCCATTTTGGAAGAAGGAAAACCAACCCTGGGGCACCCCAATTTGGAGACACCCAGGCCACTTTGGACAAGTTCGTGTTTTTTTTTGTTGCTCCTTTTTGCTTGCAGGGGTTTCCCTGGAAAAAAAGACAAGTACCCTCCCAAAAAACAAACATAGAATCTGCTGTCAGGGAAGGGGATGCTCTTTTTTTCCCCATGAGTACTGCGGTGAGGGTTCTTTACCTCTTTTGGGGGAGACCGTTCAGTTCCAGGTGTTGATTTGTGACTCCTTTGCAGATCGGAGAAGAGTGCAACAAGGTTGCACTTCGGGGTGAGCTACCTCTGACGTTTTGGAACATGACTATTCCCGCAAACAGTTTAAACAAGGTTTAAGACCAACCCAGGCACTCACTGTCAAGTTGAAGCCAACGAAGTTCAGATTCATACCGACTTGAAGACTTGCCAAAGAGGCGAAGCCCGGCAAAACTGGCAGGCAGCCTCGGTTTTGGGGCCTTGTGCCAAGTTTGGGTTATCCTTTGGCTGTGGGTCAAAACCAATGGTACCATTCTAAACTAGGTGCACCACCATTTTCGTCTATTTTAGAGGGGATTGGGATGTTCAACGGGATTTTGACCCATGGCCCTTTGACGAAGCCTTTTGGGGGGGTGGTTTTCAAGGCAAAAGGGAAGAGCACCTTTTGGCCTTCTTCGCTCGGCCTACGCCCGGCGCAGGGTGCGGGCGAAGACAGAGCCAGCCTTCGTAGGCTGGGGCAGTAGCTGCAAGTGGCGAGGTTTGACGTTCGCTAGGTGTCTGGTCAAAATAAAGCGACGTCACGTTTCCCGGGGGAGGGGAGGGGAGGGGAGTCACTCTTGATGAGGTTCCTTTTCCTTTTAGAAGGTTCCCTTGTTTTGGCTTTGTGAGTTATTACCGCTTGCCCGGATGGGTTCACCTCATGTTGTGCTGTACCCAGTTCATCAGTACCATGAATCGTGAGTTTGGAACTTTATTTGTTGTGTGGGGAGGAAGGGGAGGGGGGGGGAGGGGGGGGGCGATTGAAATCAGTTGCTTCAATTTGTTGGGTTTCGCGAGAGCCAAAGCTTGTGAATGTCAGGAGCTTGTATCAAGACGCGCCCATAAGAGTTCAAGCACGAGATGCGTGAGAAGCCCAGAGTGAGCAGCATGAACAAAAAGAAGGTCGGAGTTTGGCCTGAGCAACCCAAGCCCAAGAGTCAGAAGCAACACTGTCACATAGAAACCAAGCCCAAGAGTCAGACACGACACAAAGAAACCAAGCCCAAGAGTCAGACACGACAACATAAACCAAGCCCAGAGTCAGACACGACACAACGAAACCAAGCCCAGAGTCAGAAACGACAAAAATAAACCAAGCCCAGAGTCAGAAACGACAAAACTAAACCAAGCCCAGAGTCAGAAACGACAAAAAAAAACCAAGCCCAGAGTCAGAAACGACAAAAATAGACCAAGCCCAGAGTCAGAAACGACAAAAATAGACCAAGCCCAGAGTCAGAAACGATAAAATAAACCAAGCCCAGAGTCAGAAACAATAAAAATAAACCAAGCCCAAGAGTTCCTTGGGTTTCTTTCAACCTCGGCCCGTTTTCGTTGCGTTGATTTCAGGCGAGCGAGTCCCGCACCTGCGACTATGCGCCGCTCGGCATGCCATGCGTTTGTCTGATTTTCTTAGGGTCCAAGTTAGCCAAATGGGTATGGGGGCTTGGAGGGCTGGTGGGTTTGGAGTTTGGGGCTTGGAATTGGCTCTTCACATCGGCATGGGTCAAAATTAAACCATCAGGAATCGGACCGCTGGTTTTAGTCTTTGTTTCCATATACCAGGGTTCCATTCTGGGACCTATTTTTGACCCACACCCAAATCAAACGCGGATTTGGGTTCGCTTGGGGCTTTGTCCATGCAAATTTTCCTGGAGTCAACATGCCAGGGGTGGTTCGCAAGCGGGCATGTGCCTTTGTGCAGTGAACTCTTACACATGGTGTGACGGATATTCTTCCAAGTCTTGATGTATCGTTTCGTTGCTAATTGCGGAGGCTGACCCAACCTTTACGTGACCATGCATCTCAAACGAGTGCGCCCAAAGCTGCCTTCCAGCTGTCATCTTAACCCACCAATCAGTCGGAGCCACCAGCCGTTCCGCAAACAACAATTCCATGCCACTATCTTGTGGGCCCACACCAAAATGCAGGGCAATTGGCACGGAGACCGGCGGCGTTCGGTCAGTTGACGCGAGCATAATTCCTCACAGCCCGGCATAAGGACCGGCTACCAGAACGACAGTGTTACATGTTGCTCCGCAGGATTTGTCATCACTTGACAAGTAGGGAAGGGGAACCACATCATTTGCCAGTACAACACTTAACAAATCCACCGCATTCATCGGCTTCGAACTGTGACCAACCTCCTCAGTGTCCCGCTGGCTTTTGCATTGAGCGGTGAGTACTACAATATCTGCGCATATCCGCGCCCTCGGAAGAAGAGCTCGCGTGTTGCCGCTGGAATAACGGCATGTGTTCTTACCACCACTCCCGTTGACTGACAAGTCATTTGAGAACATGTACTTCACTGATCAGGTGAGTCTATCAATTCTTGATCGGGAACGCAGTCCCCCAGTCACTGGTGACTATAGCCAGCGCGTATGCGAGCAGCCTCAGCCGGTGCTTGCATGAGCCATGGAAATACGCCAACTTTCCAAATGCGTGTCTCAAAATATATTGGACCAACCTGGTGGCTGGTTTGGTTTCCTTTGAGTTTCCTTCTGGTTGGTCTCCAGGAGAATTGCCTGAACAACCCTCAAAAAGACACACGCACACACACATGCACAATGGTATTTTGTGGCTGGTTTCCTTTAGATTTCCCGAACTCATCTTGGACTCAACAAATCTATACCCCCTTTTGACCGATTTCGAGGTTCCTTCAATTTCCCCAACCAAACAAGGGGATCATGAGTATTCCGTGAATCCCTGGGGGTTCAGCTTTTGTGATTTTTTGGGGGTAGAAGTCTGGACGTTTGAGACAGGAACAGCCAGCATTGCAAAACCTGCGACAGCCCTGAAGCCTTGCTGAGGACATTGCAGAACAGCGCGCTCGGAGGCCCGAGGTGTGCTCAGATGCACCCAGACATCTGGTTGAGTGGGCTAAAAGACCGAGTTCTCAAATGTACTTTAAGGAAATGTTTCCCTTTGACCATTTGTAGGGTAACTTTGCCCACCAAAAGATTGGTTTTGTTTAGTGGGCTTGGGTTCTTTTGTGATTGTAGCCAAATGGATGTGTAACGAGGTGAACAATCATCTTCAAGTGGGTCCAACCTTGGGAAATTCCGTCCGTTGCGGTGACGTCCCACCATAAGGCCAGGGTGGATGCGGCTTCCATGTTGTTCGAAAGAGCTGGGAAAGCAGTTGTTCAGACATGTCCAATCAGATGGGCCCTCCCAGTCCTAGTTTTGCTGTTCGGCACTGAGCACCAAGTTGCTTCCATGGCTTTGGTTCAGGGTCTCACTTCAAAGGTTCACTCCGGATGAATCAACTTGTACTGAATTGGGGGGTGGGGGGGAGGGGGGTGGTTCCCGAAGTGAAGGATGCCCATGGGACACCCGCGATATTAATTGACCTAAAGCATCAGAATCAGGATCCTTAAGCTCGCGTTCTCGCGGCCGTTGCTTAGCGTCTTTGGTGGTTGCCCTGGCCGTTCTCAAGCAGCAGTTCACTCGGTTGACTCCTTCCGAGTTTGGGACTCCAATTGAACAAGTTTGCTTTTTGTCTGCTGGCAATCTTTGGGAAGCTCGATTGCTCCTTGCCACCAAAGGGTCAAGAAGCGAGAAGCCATTTTCAAGGAAGGCAGATGTTTTCCAAAGACCTAGAGATTCGGCCCTTGGCCCCCCGATGGGAAGCCAACGCAAATCAAAGGAAATCAACAAATCATACATGAAACCCAAGGAAACCAAAGGAAACCGGAAACCCAAAGGAACTTCAGATGGCTTGACCATCTAGCTTCTGTTGCTTCATGAGACGAAGCCAACCGCTTTCGGACGCGAAAATCCGCCGGACACCACCGAGGTGCTGAAGTACGGAGTGCGGCACCTCCGGCGCCGCCTCGGCCCGCAGGCGCCGGCGAGCTGACGACAACTGCGGCGGTTTCTGGGGCTCTCAAATTTTGGAGCCGCACCTTTTTTTGGGGGGTATCCTTGTCCAACCCACCTTTTGTTTTTTGGGGGGGGGTCCTTGTAAAAGCCTCTGAACACTTAAGCTTGTATATCTTTCGGCGCAGGTCTGTTGAACCTCCAGAGATGGAAACCAAGTGACGTATGTGTGTTTTTTCCTCCGTACTTTGGGCTGTCACACTCTGGCGGTCTTCCAGCTTGGCTTTTCTTCCTGGTTCTCAGCAGGGAATGAGAGAACGACCAACTGAGCAACAGCAAGTTTGTGTGCAGATGTTGGACCTGGCTATGGCATTGGCAGAGGATGGTTCTTCAAGATGCAGGGCTGTCAACTGCTTGTGCTTTGCAGGTGTGGGAAATTGTTGTTTGGATCGTGTCCAAGAGAAGAGACAGGACGTGAATGCACCTGTTGGGGCAATCATACATCGAACAAGCAATCTAAAAGCAAGCAGACAAGCCAGAGTTTTGCCCAAAGTCACAGCTGAATGATGACTACGCAGCAAGCCTCCCGGGCCTTCCTTTTTGCCCGCCATGGCTGCCATGGGTGCGCGTCTGCTGGCCTCGCTTTTGGCGTTGGCAGCACTTCTGCTGCAAGGGTGCCAATGCAGGCGGGAGAGGGTGTCTATAAGAATGCAGCTTCCATTTTTGTTGACCGTGTAGCGCTTTGCACGTGGCTTTCGTCTCAGAAACGAGTATTTCCCGGGTATTTTCCAGCGTCGTTTGGAAGGATGAACAGCTGCGGGTGGCTGCTTAACTGTTGCTTCTGGGGACGTTCGCCAACTAATGCAACTGGCAAAGGTGGGAGCTGAATAGAACATCTGGGGATTTCCCTTTCTCCGTCCTACCACACATGGATGTGCACAGGAATCCTTGCTTTCCAAGAGGAAAACCGATTTCCAAGGGGCCTGTGCACTTCCACGTTGGTTGGTGGTCGTTTGTTGGTTGCCAATATCTGTTTGGTGAAGAGCACGACATACAAATCGCACCAGTTGGCCTTCTGCCAAAGGGTTTCATCCAGCCCAGATGCTGCAGGATTGTAAGTCCCTCGGCACGGAATCCAGATAGAGCTGAATAGTCAGGTGGCCCCTCCTGGAATACATGGAGTCTGTCTGGCCATTTGTCAAGGCAAGGCACGTGTCTTGGGACGGTTTCAAAAGTCAGGCAAGCCACCATTTGGCGCAGGGTCCAGCACTGACACATGTGCTTCGGATTGAATATCTTTTGGATTGGTGCATCCCAACTCCAGTCTTGCACCACTCTCACACTCGTTGTTACCCTTGTTTTACAATATATATATATATATACAACATATACATATATACATATACATATATATATATACTATATATATATATATATATACACATGCTATATTCTTTTGGCACGGAGCTAGCTTTGTATCCCACGTATCGCTTCAGTGGTTTTGAGTGGCTCTAGTTGCGGCGGCTTTCCTCAGGTTGCTCGTCGCTGCGCGTTCTGTGAGAGCAATCGCGCCGGGTGCCAAATGGCTTTTTTTGTTTGCGCCACCCCCAAAGGGAAACCAAAAGGGGGTGTGTGTTTTTCCTTTGCTAAATGGCTTTTTGGTTCACTTTGCCCAAAGGGACGACAAAAGGGGGTGTGGTTTTTTGCGTCCGGACCCACTATTCAGATTCCAGGGCAGTGAGAGACCATCTCAGGGAGGCATTCGAAGCATCTAGGACCAGGCCCCATTCGAGCAGGCGCTGTGATCAAGACGCTTGCTGGCTGGGTTTATGGGACGAGCAAACGAGCCGGGACACGTTTACCCTCTTGCCAAAGAGCAGCTAGCAAAATGCAGGTTTCCAATCACCAGCCAGCTTATTGGGCAACAGTCAAAGGGGGCGAGACGATGGTTCTTGCCTTGGAGATCTGCTTATTTCAGGTGGTTTGAATATGAATAAATCACCCAGAGGGAGGGCTGGTAGGGACGGACATATCAAACTGGTTTTTGGCCCAAGGCCCCAAGTCTTTTCTAAGAAGTATCCTCAGCAGTTTGAAAATCCTTTGCCGGGTTGGGCGACATTGGAACCTTTTCAGAGTGTTTAATCTTCCAAGAATCGTTCATCGCAAGAAGTATTCCAATTCTTTGTCTTCCAAGAATCGTTCATCCCAAAAAGGGTTCCAATTCTATGTGTCTTTATCCTGGTGACCCTAATAGACCATCCCTTGTTTCCTTTAAGGGGATCCCTAAGTTAGTTCCCTTCCCAGAGTAGCAGCAAGTTTTTCTGGGGTCACAGCTTGGAACTGGTTTTTGTGTTCCTACCAGGTGGGGCGAGGAGGGGCAATGCTTGGCGGACGGCCAAGCGGACGCGGAGGATTGGGGGATACCCGAAGCGCTTTTCCCAGATGGGTTGGTCCCGGGAGCTCTCAAGTTGCTGGCAGGAATATGCTATCGACAGGGTAAACCCGAGTCTTGATTGGAGCTGACGCAGGGTCTAGACAGCCCCTCAGCAGCCCGATTACCACAGCCTGCCGTAGAAAACCTTCTTGGTTGTGCCTAAATTGGCCAGCAAATACACAGTCTGCCTGCAAAGAAGCCCGAAATATGGTCTCCTGATCGCTGGATCTAATCTGGAAAAGCCAAACACCAAAAATGGTGTTCATACCACAGTGTACTAGGGTGCTCGAAGGCAGTCCAAATGGATGCCGAGTTGCTTATGAACGGGTGTGTGTGAAGCAACCAAAGCAAGAAACAAAGTGCTTCTGTGCAGCCACTTGCGGGAAACGTATCCCCCCCCAAAGCCCCCTCAACCCTAAACCGATCAGAATCCCAGGGATCGCAATCAACCGCATTGGCCGCATTGGCATAAACTCGGGGTTGGCCAACCGATGTAACGGTTATTGCGTACATGCAGCCCTTGAACTTTGGTGTTAAGGGGTAGTTTGATATCTTCCACAACCTTGAAACCCGGTCGACGGAACTTCTAAAGCACCCAGAGGATCCCAGGAGTTTCGAAAAGACAGCTAAAACCGCCACTTTCTTGGCTACCCATGGTCATGCTTCTGTTCAGGGTTCCGTTTTCACCTCGGTTCAAGAGGGCCATGTTTTTTCTTTTTCGGAGGGCCCCTGACACAACCATTTTTGTTTTTTGGGGGCAAACCAGGCCTGGGGCAAGCCGCAGTGGGCCGAATCGCTTAGGTTAGATCACTGGGACTTTCCGAATGGTTCGGACCACTTCTCGTTGGCTTGGGTCTGATTTGTTGGGCTGTGACGTTTGCAAGTTCGGGTGTCTGACTTTCCCAGCTTGTGGACTTCGTGTTGAGTTTTGAAGATCTTCACGACTTGTGACTGCACGCCACGGAAGCAAGGGTCTGTCAAGGGCGCCCTTAGAGTTGTTTCTATTTGATGTTCAACGGCTTTGTCTTTGTTCTTGCTTGTACTAGTTTGCTTTGTGCTGTTTTGCAATGGGAAAGAATGAGTCGACAGATGACAACCAAGAATATGGCTTCTTCACTCGATCAGAGTCGACTGAGCTGGGTATTGCAAGTTCAGCTCTAAGATTCAACACGTCAGCCTTATCAGGATGTCTCTCTTGACTTAGCATTTGAGGACGGGTTTTTACAGTTCTTGGCACCCAGTTTTAGTTTTTCTGTTTTGTTGGGTTCTGTTCATTTCTAGTAGGTGGCTGCCAAAATCATGTTTGTTTGCTTACATGCCAAGGATTGGAAAGGGGTGCATGAGTACCCAGCTAGGGTAGAGCTTGTGAAGCCATTTGTTTGGTTTGCATAAGAAGCGACACGTCACACAGTCAAACCAGTGCTGATTTTCCTGGCACCAAATTGGCATACCTTGCTATGCGAAGCAGATGCTTGGTTTGCCTTCAATCTTTTTGACCGCCAAATGTTGGGTCACTCCGCTAGGATTGTTCCAACACCCCAATCCAAGGGTCTGCAAAAGGGGGGAAGCGGTGTTCTTTTGGTTGTCCTGCAAGCAACCCTAGAAATAAAATGAACAACATGTTCATGGATCCAAGTACTTCATGTATTATTCCATTCGTACTTTGCAAATTCCCCCAACTCCGAAAGAGATCCTGCAACACCCAAGAAACCCTGGAATGATGATTTCCCAGTAACTTTCAGTGCGAACGAACGGATTTCACAACCATCCACAGTACGTTCGCACATAGACATACTATGGGCATGTGGGTTTTTGAGGATCTTTGCACATACTGTGGATGGAGAACTACGGTTGAAGTCATACCTATTTACAGGCGAATCAGCACAAGCCAGGGTTCATAGGCCACATTACCCTACGCTGTCTGATTTGAAGTCCTTGTCTAGGCGGTGTTTGGATCCTTTGAGGACCGGTATGTTGACACATCGACATACTGTGGGCACGTGGGTTTTGGCTCAACCCCTTGGTACACAAGTCATTCCGCACATGGCCAGATCTGTCGGGTTCTTACTCTTCTAAAAGGAACGGGCCGCATGCTGCCAGATCACTGGGCCGCATGCTCGCCAGTGTACACATTTACTTGTCTCCCAGTATGTGCCCTCATTTGTCTCCCAGTGCTGACAGATCGCTGGGCCGCGTGCTCGCCAGTGCGCGTATTCACTTGTGCCTTCATTTGTTTCCCAGTGCTTCCAGATCGCCGGGCTGCATGCTTGCCAGTGTGCGCATTTACTTGTCTCCCAGCATGCGCCTTCATTGTCTCCCAGCTGCCAGATCGCCGAGCCACACGCGCGCCAGTGTGCGCATTTGCTTGTCTTCCAGTATGTGCCTTCATGTGTCTCCCAGTGCTTCCAGATCGCTGAGCCACATGCTTGCCAGTGCGCATCTGTTTGTCTCCTAGTATTTGCCTTCATGTGTCTCCCAGTGCTGCCAGATCGCTGGCAGCACATACTGGGAGACAAGTAAATGCGACCACTGGCGCGCATCGCATGCAGCCCGGCAAGGAGACACATGAAGGCGCATAGCGCATGCTCGCCAGTGTGCGCACTGCCTGATTGCCGGGCCGCATGCTTGCCAGTGCGTGCATCTGCTTGTTTCCCGGCACGTGCCGTCATTTGTCTCCCAGTGCTGCGAGGTCACAGCCAGGCCGCATGCTCGCCATGCTCGCACAACCGCGTCTGCCTTCTTTGTTCGCGCATAAGCGTATCCACTGTCGGCGCATAAAAGTGTTCTTTCTTGGCGCACAAGCGTGCTCACTGTTGGCGCGCAAGAGTGTTTCTTGTTGGCGCATAAGCGTGTCCACCGTCGGCGCACAAGAGTGTTTCTCGTTGGCGCAGCGTGTTCACCGTCGGTGCATAAACGTGTTCACTTTTGGCGCACAAGCGTGTCCACGGTCGGCGCACAAAAGTGCCCGTTGTCCGCGCGCAAGCGTGTTTGCTGTTGGCGTACAAGAGTGCGCCTTGTAGGCGCATCATTGTTTCCAGTGTCGGCGTGCACAAGTGTTTCCTTTCGGCGCGCAAGCGTGCTCACTGTTGCCTCATAAGATTGTTCCTTGTTGGGGCATCATCGTATCCAGCGTCGGCGCACACAAGTGTTTATTGTTGGCGCACAAGCACGTTGACTGTTGGCGCACAAGAGTGTTCTTTCGGCGCATAACAAAAGTGTTCCTATTTGGCGCACACACTGTTCGCGCACAAAAGTGTGCATGATTGACGAGCAAGCGTGTTCGTTCGCGAATAGAAGTGTTCACTATCGGCAAGCAAAAGTGTCCACTGTTGGCTCATTGCGTACTCGGCGCGCAAAAGTGTAGCCTGCCGGCAAGGCTAGCGCATGAATGAAGTTTGCAGGCGCTCAAGGTGCTTCGTGTTTGCTTGTCCAGAGATGTGAGACGGATGCCATGATCTTGTTCATGTGACCAGCCCAGCAACAGCTTTATTCACTGTGGCTTTTGCAAGGATACGAGCCCTTCTGGATTCACTTATTTTTTGCTTAGCGTCCCAAAGCGTGCCGGGAAGCCACAGGAGAGTTGTTTTTGCTCAGTATCCCACAAGAGGAGTGTTCCTTGTTGGCCAGCGAGCGTGTTCACCGTCGGCGCGCCGTTGGCGCACAAGAGTGTTCCTCGTTGGCGCACAAGCGCGTTCACCGTCGGCGCACAAAGTGTTCGCTGTTGGCGCACCAGCGTGTCCACCGTCGGCGCACTAGAGTGTTCCTCGTTGGTGCATAAGCGTGTTCACCGTCGGTGCACAAGAGTGTTCCCTGTTGGCGCACGAGCGTGCCCGCCGTCGCCGCGCAAGAGTGTTCCTTATTGGCGCACAAGTGTGTTGACTGTTGGCGCACACAAGTGTCCCTTGTTGGTGAACAAGCGTGCCCGCCGTCGACGCACAAGAGTGTTCCTCGCTGGCGCATAAGCGTGTTCACCGTCAGCGCAGAAAAGCGTTCACCGGTGGCGCACAATTGTGCCCACTGTCGGCGCACAAAAGTGCGCGCACAAGTGTTCCTTGTTGGCGCGCAAGCATGTCCACTGTCGGCGCGGAGCGTTCCTTGTTGCGCACAAGTGCGTTCACTGTCGCGCTTTATCGTAGCAAGCGTGTTCACTGTCGCTGCGCAAGAGTGCTTCAAGAGGAAAACAATGTTGGGCGGTCCCTCAAGAAGACACACATGTGATGTTGGCTTGACCTGCGCAGTGCATCATTTTCTTCTTACAATCTGTGTGGGGCCTACTCTGGTATTATTCTAAGGCATTTATATAACCTCCATATACTGTGGGTGGTTGCGAAATCCGTTCGCACCACTGCAACCTTGAAACCCTGGTTTCTGCTGATTTCCTGGGCCCATATCTGCATTTCCTTTTTTGGGATCGCTTTGGTTTAGCCGTGGCTCAGGAGGCGTGCCGCCGGCTGGATGCCTCGGATCAGCGGACCCCCTACGAGAAGGGCCACCAGGCGCGCTCGCAGACGTGAGGCGGGTGGCTCGCTCGGGCAACGAGGCCACGAGGCGAGGGACGTGGGTTGCTGATCAAAAGGTCCGTGTTACACGAGATGAAAAGAAGTTTGGGGGGAAAGGGGCCGAAGGGAATGTTGGGGGAAACCCACTGAAAAGATTTGACATCTTTGCCACATGGGAAAAGCTACCCATGGTCATTGCAGGAATGTTGATCAAACTCCAAACGCTTAAAGCTGCAAATAAACCTAAGGGACCAATCCGACTATCACTGATTTGGGTACCTTTTTTTTGTTTACTAAATATCCGTAGTTTTGCAGTTTTGTTTTCCTCAAAGGAAACCAACCATGGATGTTGTCTTTTTCAAACCATACCCCTTACACCCAGCAATCCATGCAAATGATAAACTCTGGCAGTTGAGCAATGGCTTGGACGGCCAATGGCTCTTAGCATCAATTTCCCCGTGTTGCGAAACGACGTGTTACCCTGAATTGAGCAAGCCTTGCAAGAAAAGTCATAGTTAGCTTTGAACAGTATACCTCTCATCGGCCGGCCTTGGATGTAGACAATTCAATATGTGCATGTCTGCAGCCAGCAAAGGTCGTTGATGCCCGGCACTTCAGCAATTTTTGCCTGCCGAGTGCTGGCTGAAATGTCCGATGCTGACAACTTTTGCATAACGAATCAGCATGTTGGCAGTAACTCTATTTGACCAACTATGCTTTGCAGCATGGTGATGATCATGACGAGTTGCGCAAGCTAACTAGGACTACTCAAGAAATGAATAGATCAGATCGGACTCGAAGAACGATCAACCGGCTCAATCCATTACAGAGACATGCGCAAGATCACTCTGTATGTTTTGTTTTGCAAAGGGAAACAACCTCAAAAGTAGTGTAAATCAGCATGATCGCTTTAATGGAGCCAGACCGAATCAACCCACGGCCACGCCACCATGAGTGTTTCTTGTTCCCCACCCCCGGTTTTTCCCCGGGTGTTCCTTCGACGTTGCCTCACATCGCGTTTCCGTGAGGACGGGTACGACTTGGCCGTCTCGAAGAAGGGGCACCGCTACACCTGGCTGGAGTATCTCAGGGACGTGCGCCTTGGACGAGAGGGGAAGGACATGAGCGCGTCTTGCATCCCTGAAATTTGCGAGCCCCGGTCGTGTTCCCGAGAGCCCGAAAGCGGACGCCCGGGGTGGCTGGGGTTTGGCAAGTCGCATTCCTGGAAATTCTCCAAGTTTTGTGAAGGGAGGCACGGCTAAAAGCCGTCGGCTTTCCAGGGATGGAGCTCGAGCCTGCCCTTCCATATCATGGGATAAAACATCAGCAAGTGTTGGAGCCGGTGCCTGGGTCTATATGATACGCGATCATGTCTCACCTGCCTTGGGCCTTCTGGGTCCATTGGGCACACCTCGAACAGGAGGACCGGTTTGTGGATGCTCGTTCCACATGCGAATTACGAGTTCCCATGAACCAGCAATTAGAGAGAAACCGATGTTTCGGAGATTCCGAGCTTTTTGTTTGGCATGAGACATGTACTTCTAGTACGTCCTAGATTTGGAAGCTTGCCGCTATCTTGTAGGGTTCCTACTCGCAAGCAGCTTCATGTTGATCTTGGATCGTTTCCGCAACCGGACAGGGGATTGCGAGATCCGTCTTTTCACGCTCAATTGGGGGTTCACGACGAGCCTTCGGCCCACTTCACCCCTGACCGTGGTTTGTCCGCCCACAGCAGGGCATCTTTCCCGGCCAAGATGGACACTTTTGGCATGGTGTCAGATCTGGGTAAATGCACCCATGTTTGAGGCTGTTCCGACCAGATTCATAGGCATCTGGGTGTGTCTCAAGATTGGAATCGGAAACACCCAACAGGCTTTGTTTCCCTTTGCTTAAGCCAATCAAAAGGGGCTTCTCCAAAAGAGACACCCATTGCGTTTCGCTGGCCACTTGTGAAATTGATGCGCGTGGGGGCTCGGGCTGGAATTGTGGTGTATGACCAGTTGATCTGCGATTGGAGGTGTCTTCGTTGAGTTGCTGGCTTCTAGACACGTCTTCTGTTCAGCCACAGGAATCCTTGATTATAGCCACGGGTGTGGCTCAAAATTCAACAGGGGGGGTTACGCAGGCTTTGGTCCATGTTTCCACTTACCAGGGTTCTATTTTGGAATTCCGGTTTTTTGAGCCACAGCCACACGAGTGCATAGGAATTCCCCAATTCAAGGAAGTAAGTTCACCCGGCCCAGGATTGTAGAGCTGATCATGATCATCGCCGGGCTTCTTCTGCCTCTTGGATGCCTTTTGCCCCCTCGCCCCGATGGACACCTTCCTTACACGGGCTTCCTCTGATTGCCAGCTTGGTACGGGGCAACATGACATTCTCCTCTCAGGGGTGATTTGTAAGGAAAACCGGAGAACTCCCAACCTGTTTTCTGATATCGGGTTTCTTTGTTGGGGAACACCTGTATGTCTCTCAGCACCTTTTGCTTCAACAAGCCTCTCACCTGCCCAAAGGCCAGTCGATGCTTTTGCTGGGCGGAAACTGCCGGGTGGACACGTGGCTAAACAAGGGTGCCAGACAACCTCGAAAAAGAACTGCTAGCTTCCTTGGGAACATAACGGCCTCTACTCAACCAACCCCTTATTTGTTCCCAAGGTTTCCCGGTTTATGGACACGTGGCGTCTGCCCAGAACCAAAGCCAGTTTCTCTTCGTTGGCTGGGTGGGGGGCGGTTGGCCTTCAACGCAATGCCGTTTGGGCCAAGTGAAAGAGAGTTCGCTCTAGGAGTGGAAAGATTTGAGGCCTGTTCCCGACTGCCCCAGTTGAGTGGGGAGGTTGCAAATGCCAGGGCCGATCGATCTCAGAGCCCGTACCGTGATGTATCGCTTTTGAGGGTCCCCGAAAGGGTAATCATGTCGTTCACCCCCTAACATGGATGACAACCCTAGTGGTCTGTTTTCTTCCCAAGCTCCATTTGATGGAATAGCATTCGCAGTTTTGCTTACTGCATCTCTCACCTTTGAGCTTCACAGTAATGAAATAGTTCATTCTTCCCCGCTGCGTGCACCAAGCCGGCTGAATACGAATTGGACTTAGGAGCCACCATTAGAAACCGCTCGCCTTCTCTCTGCTGACGCACGTGCTTCAAGCGTGGTCCCCTTTTCCGGTCGCTCGCGTTGCTTCCAGACACGTCAGCCGACGCTCGCTCGGACCCGCGCGCGCTTACGTTGATTCGCGCGGCTCCCGCGACTGCCGTCATGGAGGCGCTAGCTCGGCTTTTCTGCATTTGTTCGCGGGTTTTGGAGCCTGGTGCCTTCATTGCGTGTCATGCTGAGCATTCGGTCCAGGGACCCAAGCGCAGAAGCCTGCTCGCTTGATTTGGCTGTGCCCCGTGCCGCAGCCCGTCCGCCCAGACCAGCATGAGCTGGCGGTTAATTGACACGTTGATTCCACTGGTGGCTTACCCCAAAAGAGTCTTAAAGCCACTGCAAAGGACCCCCTCTTCTTCATGGAGGTTCCCCTGCCATTCAAGCACCATGCGGACGCGCGGACGCCACACCGAGCTCACCGATTTCAGGCAACGAACCCAACTCAACAACGTGGACGTGACATTTTTGAGCGACAAATTGTCGTGCAAGACCTTTGTTCTTGGACTACAAAGCCGGAACATTGATGTGCAGCGGTGTTGGTGAACGATTCTAGTTCACGCAGACAGGATTCAAAGGGTGGCTAGCAATCATTTCACAAGGTTCTTTGCCGATTAGCACACGCGAGCCTGCAGTTGTTTGAAGTTCGGAGACAAAGGCGCAGTGGTGGTGTCCAAGATGGTACTGGCAACGCGCGCATCACCTGTTGCAAGTCTTGATATGTGTTGGAACTGGTATCTCTCTCACATGGTGGTGTTTCCTAAAGCAGGCCCAAACATAGCGGCTTCCGTGTGGTCACGCGTTCATATAAGTGAATATGGGTATCTGAACGCGGCCTTGCTTGTGGCAGCCCTTTTTTCCGCCATCAAGTTGTCAATTCGTCGTGATGTCTCCAACGTCACGCAGAAAACAAATGGACGTTTTTACCCCCGGCAAAATATAGCCTCGTTTCGACTGCGATTGATGCAACCTGAGTTTGGCGTATGTGAGGCTCGGTTGTGTTTTGGATATCCAGTGGCTCGAAGCAAGCTGATCCTAGAATCCCAGAGAAGTAAGCAGAGCCCAGTGTGCTTCTTGGGGTTGCAGAAGCTTTGGAGCCGCGTGTCCTGAACCATGTGCTTCACAACGTGGCTTCGAAACCTCCAAAATCGTCCCAAACACAATCACTGAAGCAAGTGGCTGCTGCGACTGGCCTCTGAGGGTGCTACATGTTTCAAGCTGCCAACATTTGCCACTCGCGCCCCTCGGTCCACAGCACCTTCATGGCTGACTGCTCTGGAGCGCAACAGGTTATCATTCTGATGTGTGAAGGAACTTGGGATTATCGCTGGGTTAACATGATAAGCAATGTGCAACATCATGAGTCAGGGGCTCACTTCATCCTTTCGGCTGCTGCATTGCAATGGCTTGATGTGCCCAGATCTTGCTACACTTTTCTTGCTTGTGCTCAGTAGGGAATGAGGGAATGAACCCAGGAACCCCCCTTTAAAGAGCATCCCTTTCAACCAACCTTTTACCCCCATTTGCTGGCCTTTTGCGCCCCTATTGTTTTCAACCTAGCTTCTTCTGGCAGAAGGAAAGGGAGGGCTAGCCATTTGTGGGGGGGAAGCCAAAAGGAACACCGAAGCCATTTTGTTGGGTACCCCTCGAGGCTGGGCGCGGTGATTGGCCACTCCCGAGCCGATGACACCGAGACCGGCGCTCGCCGGTCGCGGCGACCGCTCCGGGTCGAGATCCCGCGTTCTTGTGACAAATGGGGAAGAAGAGCCGAGCATTCGGTAAACAAGCAATAAATATTACATATATAAAGAGATGCATGTAGAGATATAAAATGTATATATGTCTGTAAATGTATATATCTCTATATACACATATAGATAGGTAGATATGTATATGTACATGATGTATATATAAATATCGATGTCCAAAAAAGGGGAAACCAGAAGTTCCTTACTTTAAGGAGGGTGTTGGATCGGGATAAGGAATCCAGCCATTCCTTTGTCTTAGCATCGGCCAATCGACTTTGTGCCGCAAAACATCTCCAGCAGTCTCGGCATGTTTAACAATTACCACCAGCGCAACAAAGCTGCTCCTTATGGTTTCGCAAGGAGGATTTGGAGGGGTTCCCTAGTTGGGGCACATCTTCATTGAATTGGAGGATCTTCCAGTTCTGCACTCTGGAACTGTCACTTCCTGCTTTTGCAGATGGATCAGATCAAAGGTTTCAACTTTCATCCCTCACAGCACCTCGCGTGCCAAACGGCCCCTCACCGATTCGGCGCCATAACGAGCTCAAAAACGGTCCTTTACTTGGGGGATTTGCTTCGGCGATCATCCGATAAAATTGGAACGATACAGAGAAGATTAGCATGGCCCCTGCGCAAGGATGACACGCACAAATCGAGAAGTGTAACAAGTTTTTAGGGTTTCGGCTCGAACCTTCCCGCGGTTGCCCTGTTATGGGGCTCCCTACGAACAAGCCATGACATTGCACTTCACAGACATCATGAAATCGCACAGCTGCAACTTTGTGGAACAAGTTCAGGTGCTCGCCCATGACCAAGGGTTAGCTACCTGTACTGGCAAGATTTGCAGGACCTCCCTGTTGGGCTCTGTGCTTGTAACTGACTTTGACATCGAATCTATTCTGGCGTTTGAGACACTGCCCTACATTGCCTCAGGGTTTGATTCGCATGACGACACCTGGTGTATTCACAACCTCAGGCAACCTGAGCGTGCTGATGGAACCTGGAAGTGGACGTTGCACAGCTCCATTTTCAAGACAAACTGGCAGCCCTTGGCTAGACCACTTTGGCTGGCTGAGATTTTCTGTGGAGGTTTCGCTGGCTGGGCGCACGCTGTGCGTATTCTGAACCACATGAAGGCCCCAATCCAGACCGTTGCGGCGATTGATCACGATCTGGGAGTTGGGATTGCATACTCACGCTCTCTCAGAGCTGCATTCATCAATCAGTGTGCTCCCCCATGGGGCTGCCACTTCAGTTGGAATCTCACTACCTTTTGTTTGGCATGCGGACATTTGCAACAGCAATTGGTTTGCGGACTATGGCATGATCTCTACCAATGTCTGGGCTTCACAGTAGGGGAGACGAAACGCCACCATGTAGATGCGCCGATGCAGGCCAGCGCCCTGGTTCACACATGTCAGCCGCCACTGATCACCTTCGAACAAGAGGCCGGTTTCAAAGACCATCACCATTTCTAAGTCGGTTACGAGCTTGCAAATGAGCATGTTGGTCGCTGACCGAGTGAGACCCATACCCTGGGCGCCTCGGTGCCCAGCGGGCAGCACAGTTACTCTGTACTGTTGTTAGTCGGCTGCTGGACAAACCACTGCTGAGCAGTGAATTGAAATTGTCCGCAGTCCCAAGCAACGTGTACTTCCTCTTCCTTGCCTCCTGAAGGCCAGTTGCAATGCCTAACCCCTGAGCCATGTGGTCCTGGACATTGAGTGTCCTGTACTAATTCGAGAGCACTGCATTGCCACACCCGTTAGCTCTCAAAGAGCTGCATCCGATGCTTCGGATACATCCTGTAGTTAGGGCGAGCGCGTTCCTTCCTCTTTTGGCACGTGTGCCACTGAACACCCGCTTGCTCTACAAAGAGCTGCATCCGATACTTCGGATGCGTGTTCCTTCCTCATTTTTTTGACGTGTGACACTGAACCGGTCCGCCTTCGCAGCTGCGGGGGGCGGGCCGAACCAAGAAGAGTCGCGGTCCTTTACTTGGGGATCCCTTAATGCAGCTGGAATTATGTTATGCAGATGGTTCCGATGCTCCAAACATGCAGATCTATGCCAGAGTGGCTAGAAAGGTTTCGGCCAAAGGATTGACCAAGGCCACATCCAAGGTATTGACAGGAGATGGCACGTGCCAACCAGCAACTCCACTCGCGAGCCTGGCATGACCCAACTTTGAAACGAAGGAGCTGCAGACCCCCCTCCAGCTTTGCATGATGTGACCCAGCTGAAAGAAGAAGGAGTCATATGGCTATGATGTTTAAGAGTGGAAACCACGGTGGGACATGAATCCCCACCGAAGTCTGATGTCCACCATTGCGGGTCTCAAACCCAGTGACATTTAGGACCATATCCCCCCGACTCTCCCTGTGTACCGCGCGGGACGGACCTTCGGCAGGACCTTTGCCGAGACCAAGAAGCCCGCGCAGCTTTTGCGCCGAAGGAGCAATCCACCAAAGTCTGTGCGGGGCAAACGGCGGACCCCCCCACCCAAACAAAAAAAGGAGGTTTCATATGGGTGACTCCATTTTTCGGAGGTTTTCCGTTAACAAGCCCCAAAAAGGGTACCCTCAAACAAGCCGCACCCTTTTGGTTTCAGGTTGGTTGTCCCTTAGCACCCTCGACTCACAAAGCATCTCTCTCACAAAGCCGGTTGCCCAAGGCTCGTGGAAGCAAGTGGTGCATTGCGGCAGGAGGTAGAAAGGCCATCGCATCCTTGCGGAGGGTGACTCTCCTTGCGGAGGGTGACAGTTGACAATTGGTCACATTGCAATTGATGCCTGGTTTTGAAGCTACCCTCCCACCCACTGTCCCATGGCACCTTAGAGGTTGCCCTTGCAAAAGAGAAAGCTTGCTCTTTCAGGCGCACTCGCACTGGTGCCATTTATGTTACTGGGCCGGATGTTCAAACTGCCCCATGCATGCATTTGGTGCCTTCTATTAGCTGCACATATCTTTGTGAGAAGCTCAACCCGCCCAATTCTCTATTATTCCAGGAAGCTAAACTCACCCTACTGTATCCATGCTTCCAAGCACCGTCCCACCGTCCCACCGTCCCGACTCCGCGACTCCGCGCCGCCCTGCCGCGCCAGGACCATGGTGGGCTTGGAGCACCTGGGGGTTTTGAAGGGCGAGGGCTTCCACAAGCGCCAGGACGGGCTTCCACAAGCGCCGCTCAGAACTTGGGAGTCGGAGAGTCGCTGGATTTGGTGGATAAGAAAGACGTCGGGTGGGTCAGACGAAACAAGCCTCGACTTTGGCCAGGGAGAAGGGTGTTGGTTGCCACCGGCTAAATTCTGCTCGCGGGCACTGGTTCTGTTTGAAATTGCATTTTTTTTGCACGGCGCGCTGGGTTGCAATCACTGAGGCGATACACCTTTTTGAAGCATGCTGATGAATGTGGCAGCCACAGCAGTACCGCCACCACCATCACGACTGTCAGGGTTGCTTTGTGTTCACTCCTGGTATTACGCATTCCTCAATGTGTCTACTTTCGTTGTGGCAGGGATAGCTACCAAGCCCTTCACAGCCATGTAGACAGCCATTTCATGTGTTCCTTGGAGCTGAGCATAGAACCCAATCAGGGATCCCTACAGGAATTCCTCTAAAAGTGGATGGTTTTCAGGGTTCCATGCTTTTCTCTGAGAAGTAAGGAGTTGTGACCATTGCCCAGTCACTCGTTCTTCTTAACCATTATTGTTCCAATTTTTGTTTGGGTAGTGGTTTGGGGTAGTAGGAGCCATCTTAGTATGGCCCTCTGCGCCAGACTCAGCAGCCTTTGCTGGAGTGAGAAGCGATGCGTGACAGATGAGTTCTGCGAAAAAGGTTGTGGCAGTGTTGT